TACGTCTTCTTGTCGGCAACGATACCGAATGCCCGTCAGTTTGCGCAGTGGATTGTGCACCTTCACAAACAGCCATGCCATGTTGTGTATACTGACTACCGACCCACACCGCTGCAGCACTACATCTTTCCAGCGGGCTCTGACGGTCTCTACCTTGTTGTCAACGAGAGGGTATGCTATTGTTGGGTGATTTTGATGATTGCTGTTGCGGCTACAACTGTTATTGTGGCTGTTGATATTTACGGTGCTTTACTAACTTTCCAGTACTGATGCATGATAAGCTAGCTCACTATGAGGCATCCCACAACCATTGTGTCATTGGCTGGTGTCTGACACATCCCTCAGCATGGCATGCTTTGCCGCTTGTGCTATCCGACACATGGTAGCACAGCCTTTCCGCGTGCCTACAGAAACTGCTCTATAGTCTTCGCTGGCACATCCCTGATGATGGGTGGTCAGCTATACGCGTAGAGTACAATGAATATGATAAGTATTCCTGCAGTTTGCTTGATGTTCCAAACTAAGGCTTAGTCTTGCCTCAGCGAAAACATGTTCAGGCCTATATTTTTTTGTGGGTGCACTGGTATTAACATGTGCTCCTGATGTTGTTAGAGAGAGAATTCTTATGCAGGTAGCCGTTCATCATTGTGCTTTTGGCACATGCGCAATTTTGCTATCCTCTTCTGTTTGTGTTTTACCAAAAAGAACGAGTTCCTGGAGGACAATTTTGCGAAGGCAATGGGATTCATCAAGGATGCTGGCAGCTCTGGTGGAGGCATGTCCGGTGGTCGAGGTACGGTGCTGGTATCGTGTGACTGGTGCCCTTGCTTTGCTGTGTGTGAGGTTCTGTGAGTGCCCTTGCTTTGCTGTGTGTGAGGTTCTGTGAGTGCCCTTGCTTTGCTGTGTGTGAGGTTCTGTGAGTGCCCTTGCTTTGCTGTGTGTGAGGTTCTGTGAGTGCTCTTGCTTTGCTGTGTGTGAGGTTCTGTGAGTGCCCTTGCTTTGCTGTGTGTGAGGTTCTGTGAGTGCCCTTGCTTTGCTGTGTGTGAGGTTCTGTGAGTGCCCTTGCTTTGCTGTGTGTGAGGTTCTGGTGCCTACTCACATGTAAATGTAGGTGGTCAGTTGCACTTCCCGATGAACTTGCATTGATTTTTGAATTACAGTGCTACTTTGTACTACTGTTGGTATGCAATGTGGTTCGTAGCTGACCCTTGGACTCTGAGGCTCCCTTTGAGGCTCCCGTTGAGGCTCTATTATATCCCTGCTGAAATTCGGACAGTCTGATAGTTAAATAATGAAGTATCACGGCATAAATTCAGTCATTTCTTGCTCCACGCATCCCTCAGCATGGCATGCTTTGCCGCTTGTGCTATCCAACACATAATGATGGTAGCACAGCCTTTCCGCATGCCTACAGCAACTGCTCTATAGTCTTCGCTGGCACACCCCTGACCATGGGTGGTCAGCTATACGCGTAGAGTACATGCATGGCAGGTTTCGTAGCCATCCTGATTTTCATGATCCCCTGGTGTTGAATAGTACTGTATGGCAGTGTTAACGCTGTACCTGTATGCATTCAGCGGAACGCAGTACGTGTATGATGTGATCTAACACTGTTTGCTGTGTTTTAGGTGGTGGTGGCGGCGGGGCTAGCATCAATCGGTTGATCCAGATGATCATGGAGCGCTCCTTCCAGCCAGTCATCATCTTCAGCTTCAGCAAGAAGGAATGTGAAACGTATGCACTGCAGCTCTCTAAGCTAGACTTCACGACAGGTGAGTAGGGTACCGGTAATGGTTCGCCTGGAGCAAATGTGCTAGTTAGCCCCAGTTCCATGTACATGTACATTGAAGTACTAACTTTCCAGCACTGATGCATGACAAGCTAGTTCGCTGTTAGGCATCCCACAACCATTGTGTCATTGGCTGGTGTCTGACACATCCCTCAGCATGGCATGCTTTGCCGCTTGTGCTATCCAACACATAATTATGGTAGCACAGCCTTTCCGCATGCCTACAGAAACTGCTCTATAGTCTTCGCTGGCACATCCCTGATGATGGGTGGTCAGCTATACGCGTAGAGTACAATGAGTATGATAAGTATTACTGCAGTTTGCTGGATGTTCCAAACTTATGCACATCGTCACTCATATTCTCTCGTTTGCCTTGCTTGATGCTAGTGAGATGGCGGTACGTATGTTTAGTAGGCCTAACGTTTAGTGAATGGGTGTAGTGTTAATACTGTATACCTCTGCTTATGGATTGGGTACACCACATTGCTGCTCAGTGCTGTGACAAGTATGCTCTCGCCAGTACCCGTCAACTGACAAGGTGTGACGAATCGTGTGTGTGTGTGTGTGTGTGTGTGTGTGTGTGTGTGTGTGTGTGTGTGTGTGTGTGTGTGTGTGAGCGTGCGTGCGTGCATGCGTGTGTGCGCACATGCGTGCTGGGGTAGGATATCAGTCACACAATGTGTCCGTACACACATATTCCCCATATTCACCTCCTATTGACAGCTGGAACACTCTTTCTGCTTCAGCCGGTACTGGTAGGTTTGTGAATAGATTCCTCGCTCTGATCTCCATCTGCACACCTGCGCATGTGTTCATTGTGCTGTTTAGAGGACGAGAAGAAGCTTATCTCTGAAGTGTTTAACAATGCGATGGATACGCTCAGCGATGAAGACAGAGCAATACCACAGGTAGGAGCACTGCCGCCATGTCTAAGGATGACGAATAGCACTGGCTATGACCAATCACTATGGACTAAGTACCATTGAGTCAATTTCTTGTTTTACTCTCAAGATGGCGACATGAATATCACAATATTTGGCTGACTCTAGCAACACAGACAATTTCCTGCGTAAGTTCAGCACGCACGGGTTGTGATATGCTAAAGCTACAGGAGTCCGCTGGCAGTCAAATATCTCGACATGTTTGACAAGGATTGAAATAGATTATTGGAATGAAGGTTGGACTGATATGTAGATACGTGAGTATTGAGTGCTGGGTATTTCGGGAAGTGCAATACGTGTACAAGCCGTAGCTGGTCAGCTGTTATAGCTGTGTTGTGGGTGGCCTATGTGTATAATACCTGGTGGGTGGAGATTTTTATTCTGAGTTCTTGTTCTTGTTCTTGTTCTTGCTGCTGCTGCTGCTGCTTGCTGTTGCTACATGTATGTGTGCGTTTGTGTGCGCTGTACAGGTCGATAATCTGTTGCCGCTTTTGAGGCGTGGCATTGGCATTCATCACGGAGGTCTGCTGCCTATTCTCAAGGAGACAATTGAGATTCTGTTTGGCGAAGGGCTTCTAAAGGTAACCATTGCTGTGTGGTCAACCATCCATGTGTTAGCTCTGTCTGAGAACAGTTCTCTCACTACTTTCTCTTGTTAATGCATTCCTCTATCATGGTGTCCCTATCGTATAGTCTTCATGTCACCGTTGCACTTTTTACTTGTCTCTTTAGGCGCTCTTTGCTACAGAAACCTTTGCTCTTGGCTTGAACATGCCTGCACGGACGGTTGTTTTCACTGCCATTAGAAAATTTGATGGCCGGGACTTCCGCTATGTAAGTTACAGTGGCATTCATGTACATGTATTCCAGATGTCTGTTGTTTGTTTGTTTAGCTCTTTTTTTTACTTCACCATAGGCACAGGCAAAATCTGCCTTCTCACTGGGCGTATTGCGACAGATGTGTGTTCATATGCTGCTTTTGCTAGTCAGTGTTTTGTTCATGGATTTCACATTTGTGTATGCGTTTTCATGATGCCTGCTTTGTAGTCGAGCTGAACAAGGCACCCCGTGCAGGATTGTACTTATGCAAAATGTGTTACCGATGTGAGCGTTATTTGCAGTTACATGTACCGGCCTGCACCAAGGTTTGTGGCACAGTCTTGTGTACTGTGGCTCCCGTACTATTGGTTGTGCATGAGTGGCTTGTAGTTATTGTTATCTTCCTGGTCACTTAGACTGTACATGCACATGTACTGCTGGTGCTGGTGCCTCTGATACTGGTATCCTACAGGTTACTGGCGGCGAGTACATTCAGATGAGTGGTCGCGCTGGTCGACGTGGCTTGGACGACAGAGGCATTGTCATGATGATGGTGGACGAGAGAATGGAACCTGAAATTGGAAAGAGTTTGCTCAAGGTGGGTGCTGATCTGATCTCTACATGTACGGTGTGAATTGATTTGTACTTTACGCATTCGCTTTCTACAGTAAAACCTGGTTAAAAGCAGTCTCAGTCTCGGTCTGCTTTGCCTTTTGGTTCCTGGTCTAGTATGCCTATTCGGATTGTCATTGAGATTGTATGCCATACATACTCTACAGTCTACACGTGTATATTTATTATTTATCTCCTTTTACTGAGTTTAGTAAGTTTTTACATTGCTGTCTTGTGTTGAGTTGGTCTTTATCTTTTATTTGTCATGAATTCTCTGTTGCTAGGGCTCTTCGGATCCGCTGAACAGTGCGTTTCGCCTGACGTACAACATGGTGCTGAACCTGCTGCGAGTGGAGGAGATCAATCCCGAGTACATCCTGGAGAGGAGCTTCTACCAGTTTCAGAACAGCACCGCCATTCCTGGCATGGAGGATGGTACGCAGGCCAGCATGATGCCACTTGCCTACTTACTGTTGGCATATACATGATAATAATGGTGGACTCGCGTGGTGGTAAAGAGTCTAAAGACACATCTGGCGAAATGGTGATAACTACACCAGGTGTGTCCGCACCACCATATGAGTCCAACACAAGTACAGCTGTAGTGGAGTCTTCAACTGCACATACAATGTCATAACTATGCACTTTATAGGTATGCTACAGTGCTGGCTAACGACATTCAGAAATGTCCTTGGGTGCAGAGCCAACACTTGTATCTGGTCACATTGCTGACGGCAAGAGTTCATAACCCCATGGGGGTTATGAACTCTTGCTGACGGTTATACATGTATAGTTGTGTACAGTCATATAGGATGGTACTGGAAATCCTGAAGCCTAACTATTAAACTATGTGCAACTTCTTTTCTGTGCTATTTCCTGGTACATCAGAACTGGCAGCCGTGAAAAAGCAGGTGTCTGCGATGGTTGTCCCCGAGGAGCAAGGCATCATGTCGTTCTACAACCTCCGCCAGCAATTAGACAGGGCGACTACTGAGATTCACGTAAGCTGGATTTCGTACACTGGAGTTTTCGCTGGAAAGGAAATCTGCTCGAACACCTGGGCTAGAAAGGCATATGAGCAAGAGCTGGCTGCATCCAAGTGCTGTTCTGTTCTGTGATGTCTGCTCTCTGTCTGTAATAGCTCACTCTGCAAAGGTTTTGTGGCCATCGAGTCGGGAGCTGTCTTGGTGGTCAAGTTGTAGTCTCTTACACTATAGTATACCTTCTTGCCAGACCTCAGGCAGAGTATTTGTCAAAACCTGCCTTTTTCTTCTTCTCTTTTCTTTTTAGGAAATTGTAACTCAGCCGCAGAATATTTTGACATTCTTGCAACCAGGCCGCATGGTGAAGGTGAGTGAGATGGTTTTGGACTTGGCCTGCTCAGTTTGTTCCCTGTCTGCATATTAGCTATTCGTTTGTTTTGCAGTGAGTGCATGGTCCCTAAACCTAGCCGTGTGTCTGGGTCGGACTGTGTGTGCGTGCATGTATGTGTATGACTGTGTGTGTGTGGGTGTGGGTGTGTGTGTCAATATGTGATTTATCTTCTTTAGGTAAAGCATGATGAGGATGACTTTGGCTGGGGTGCTGTCGTCACTTTCCAGAAGGATGTAGCCAAGACCAAGGTAGGTGTGCATTCTAATTCAGTTTTTTCACCATACAATGTGTCCCTGAAATTGTTCAGCTCAAAGTGGTTCTGCATGAGGAAGTTACTGGATAAAACTTGATCACTTTAGAATTACCAATTTATCATGGCCCCGATTGTGTGTAGGAGTCTTGATTGTAGTGCAATGTGCACTGTGGTTTGTTGTTGTCTGCAGGGTTCTGAGGAAGTACAAGGCTCAGTGTATGTGGTTGATGTGTTGCTGCATTGCGCCACCGAGTCCACTCAGAATGCCGGCACCATGCTTCCCAAGCCCTGTCCCAAAGGCGATGCCGGTCAACTTGTGGTGAGGACGAGCAGAGATAGATAGATAGAGAGAGGGAGGGAGAGATGGAGATAGAGATAGAGAGAGAGTGTGTGTGTGTGTGTGTGTGTGCGCGTGTGTGTGTGTGTGTGTGTGTGTGTGTGTGTGTGTGTGTGTGTGTGTGTGTGTGTGTGTGTGCGTGTGTTTGTGTGTGTGTGTGTGTTTCTGTCTACATGAGAGCTGTCCTCAATCCAACCCAGCTGCACAGGTCAATCCTGTTTTACATACAACAGGTACAGAGGAAGCTTGGCTGTCGTGGTGGTCATAGTGATCATCTCAGCCGTAACTGTCACCTGGTGATCACGTTGAGCATGTTAGCTCAGAGTTGTAACTAAGTGTCCTCTCTACCTGCTGTATTCACATGCTCCACCTCTCGGTGTTGAGTACACTACATTTAGTGGGGTACTCCACTTGTGCTGGTCCTGTAAAAAACTTGACTAATTTCAAGTAATTTGTGTCAAGTGTATGTGTGTGTGTATGTGCATGTGTGCGTGCATGTGCATATTATGTGTGCATATGTGTGTGTCCTTGTGTGGATGGGCTTGTCCATGACTTTTGGTAACCATTGTTGTTTTCCTGTTGCTGTCCAGGTTGTACCCATTCTGCTCTCACTCATTCAAGAGATCAGTACAGTTCGAGTGTACCTGCCCAGAGATATCAGACAGCAGCTGGTGCGGACCAATGTCCTCAAGTCCATTCAGGTGTGTTCATGAGCATCAGCGCCGCCACTGCAGATCATTCTAAGTTGTTTATTTAAATCTGGGTGTTTGCACTCCCTCACCCGGTGTGCTGTGATGAGTGTGGCTAACGTTATACCAGTCCCCTTGCTTGTAATGATACACGTCATGTGGCAGACTGGTAGTACTGTAAAGCGGGTTATTTAACGATGAAATACCTTTGGCAAGTAGTTCTGTACTATCGGTGATGAACTACCCTGCAACTCACAGTGCTGGCTGTGCTATTTTTGTTCGTCGTAATCCTATTCTCTCTTCATCTCCATGGTGTGCAGGATGTTTTGCAGCAATTCCCCAAAGGTCTTCCGCTCCTGGATCCGGCTGATGATATGCAGATCAAGGACAACAGCTTTCAGCACCTCATCAAGGTACTGCTCCTACCTGCCTGCCTGTGTGCCTGCCTAGTTGCTGGTGTACTACTGCAGAAAGTGTCTTGCAACATTCTGGAAAGAAACCCTGAACGACTCTGGTGTTTCCGCTATGTTTTGAAGAGCATTCCATTTAGCGACTGCACCGGCAGTGGGTAGTGCTGCTAGTAGGCATATATGGCAGAGGATGCTCTCTATCTACTTCAAGTACTGTCGTTTCACAAATTTTCGGTGTACTTTTTTTCGGTACTTCTGGTGCATCTGTTTCAGACCTAAAATTTCAATACACCGAGCAAACTCTAACACACATAATCCAATAGGGAACTTCTTCTCTGTACCTAAAATTTCTGTTCACCTAACCTGGCCTTTTGCCCTCATACCGAAAAAAATGCGCACAGAAAATTTCTGAAATTAGAGTATTCATAATTATGTCAAGTATCCTAGTACATTCGTTGCATGTCTTTCTTCTCCAGAAATACGACACGTTGAAGGATCGTATCCGATCTCACCCTCTTCGAAAGCACAAGGATCTGGATACACTCTATGCCAAATGCAAGGACAAGATGGATGTAAGTCGTGATTGGGCTGGCATTCAAGAATTGGCCAAAGCCTGTCTTTGTCTTTCATTTGGCAGGACTGTAATTCTCAGTACAGCTGAAGTGTTTGGCAGTAGAGAATCTTTGAACACCTCTGGCACCCACACACAGATGCACATGAACATGCCTGCTCGCACACATGCACACGCGCGCGTCTACGGTACAACACACAAGCTCTTTTCCATCAGTTCTTCAATAATACGGGTACATGTACCTGTGTACTTCACCACCCTGGATTGGTATGGTCTGTGTCATCCTCTCAATGACTCAGTTGTGTGCAGCATTTCTCTGTAACAAAGCCTTCCACAGACTAGTGTTCTCTGGTTACCTCTTGTATTTGCAAACATACATAATTCCAACTGATGAAAGAGTTCAGACCAACGGTGACTTGAATAAAATTAATTAAAACTGTGACTCAGTATGAAGTTGAAGACACCACTGCAGCTGTACTTATGGTTGATAAATATGGTGAACTGATGGTGGTGGTGGTGAGAAGGAGAGCTCTGTGCCAGAACTTTGCAGCCTAGAGAGCTTGTGTGGGCAGGCGTGTGTTTACCGCCATACTGCCAGGTGTGACTCAGTAATTCCGGAAAATCTATCCTTTCTGATTCGCTTTGAATCTGCTCAGGTGTTGGAGCGAGTCAAGTCCCTGCAGAAGGAGATCAAGCGTGCTCAGACTATCCTGCAGATGGGCGAGCTGAAGAATATGAAGAGAGTTCTGAGACGGCTCGGCTATGCATCTGCGAGTGATGTCATTGAAGTGAAGGGTCGAGTGGCGTGCGAGATCAGCAGGTCAGTCACAGCACGTGTTGAATTGTTCTGTTGCATTGTACTGGACAGTGACTGCTGGAATACACAGGCTGTGGGTTGAGGTTTACTTGCAACGTGTGTGGCGCTGCTGTTGTACTGAACATGTGCAGTGAACTAGCAAATTGCCTGTTGTGTGTGTGAGTGCGTGCGTGCGTGTGTGGAATTTGCATGCAGAATGTAATGTATGAATGTTTGTTGTGTGTGTATGTGTGTGTGTGTGTGTGTGTGTGCATGTTTCTGTTACTGTAACTGTTGCAGCTGTGATGAGCTTGTTTTGACAGAGCTGCTGTTCAACGGTGCCTTTAGTGAACTGTCCGCTGAGCAAGTCACTGCGCTTCTCAGCTGCTTTGTTTACGATGAACGTTCGGTAAGTACTTGCTGAGTGTTGTACATGTACCAGGTAGAATCTGTCACACATTGACCAGTACAGTATTCGTTGGGATCATTGAGGTTGTCCTTGCCAGTACTGACTCGCTACCGTCTAGCGTGTTTATATTGAACCTGAAGGGGAATTTCTAGTTGGCCACTGTGATGGGTTAGTAGTGACCCAGTGGGAGGTTTCAACGTGCTCATGCCACCACAAGACAAGCTTGAGTATTGACTGGGTACGAAATGGAACTGAATATGCGCTGATCTTATCCATGAGTTCTATCGTCCCACTCAGCCGCCTGCACTTTCTTTGCTGAATCCCTCGCTCACACGCTCCTTCTCTTTCCTATCTGCCTGTGTGCTATCCACCGAATAGAAAGAGACTAAGGAGCCGCATCCCGACTTGCAAGCACCAGCAAAGTTACTCAAGGTATGTGTGTGTGTCCGTGTGTGTGTGTGTGTGTGTGTGTGTGTGTGTGTGTGTGTGTGTGTGTGTGTGTGTGTGTGTGTGTGTGTGTGTGTGTGTGTGTGTGTGGTGTGTGTGTGTGTGTCTCTCACATTGTGATCCAGCACTGGGCTTGGTCAGTGTGAATTGTGGCAGATTAACGTTACTCCTTGCTGCTTATGCCCTCAATCAACAATTTCAGGTAGGGCCTGTGACCTGTGGATGACTCAATGCATGAAGTACAGAACTGTCCACACAAGTTCAACATGGAGACGAGAACACAAACCAGTAAACCAGCCCGATTTCTACGACAACAAAATGTTGATGACCAGAGTTGCATATCAGGAAACATTGTGGCGTGTGCTGAATTGATGTGTGTAACCTCTCAATTGGCAAAGCTGGAGTTTCACGAAAACCTTCCTTTTACCATATCGCTAAGAACTGGCTCGAGTTGTTGGCCGGAGACACAGAGTGTTGAAACTAACTTGAAACGCTACACTTTGAATTCACATCCAAGTTTTTCACCATTTGTGTTAGCGACTCCACACCCATTGCGAATATCTTGAAGTTTCTCAGCCATGTTCTTTCCCCTACTTGTGCGTGCAGTGGTTGCTAGCCAATGATGCCATACGGGTTGTTAGCCAATGATGTCATACGGGATCATACCTGGGCGTTTGTTTTTTGTTTTTTTGCTTTACACCTATACGCAGGACACTGCACGCCACATAGCACGTATCAAGAAAGAGTGCAAGATTGACGTTGATGAGGATGAGTATGTGCAGGGCTTCAAGATGGCCATGATGCCCGTCGTCTTTGCCTGGTGCCAGGTAGGAGACAGTCAGTGACAGTCGGTGTGATGGGTGTTGTGTGTGTATTGGAGCAGTGGTACGCGTGCCTTTCCATGACTGGGTTTGTGTGGAGTTTTGTTTTGCAGCAAACTACAATTCAAGTGTCAGCTCAAGAGGACTAAGTGCGAAATTCTGTGATATGGGCTAATGGATGTCACTCTGTGTCTCTCTGCGTTGTGTTTATCAGGGTGCGCAGTTTCTGCAGGTATGCAAAATGACAGAAGCCTTCGAAGGTGAGTGGAAGACGATTTTTCCTGTTGTGGCCATTGTGTGCAGAGTAGAGCGAATAGGTGCTGTTGAAGAGTACTTTCTCGAGACCCTGCACAGCCTCCCCCTCCACTTTCTTCTTTATCTTTTCCGTTTAGATTGCTGCTCATAATTCAGGAGCTCATATTTCACTGTTTTCACCAATTTCAGAAATACAGTGGTGAATTCGGCAAAATACACTGTATGCCCACCCAGAAATACAAATGCTTTTGTAGCTGACAGTTGCTGTTGCTGGCGCTGTTTTCTCTCTTTGTGTATGCTAGGGAGTATTATTCGCTGCTTCCGGCGCTTGGAAGAGGTGCTGCGGCAAGTGGCACAGGCCGCCAAGGTTGTCGGCAATCAAGCTCTGGAGGAGAAGTTCCTGCTGGGCATCAAGCTTCTCAAGCGTGACATTGCTTTTGCTGCCAGCCTGTACCTATAGGTCAGCAGCAGGTGGCCTTGAGCTGATCATGTGCAGACGACTGTACTTGTAGCTGCACACCCAGTGAAGAAGAACCAACTGAATGATTATCAATTTGAAGTGCAATTGATTGAATCTGTTGCTTTCAGTTATCCTCCTGGCCCCCAGTGGTCCACCGACCAACATCATACTGATATCCTACCTTGCCCTGGATCTGGTTTAGATCAGGCTCGCTGTCGGTTTGACTGACTGGCATACTTGCAAGTGAAGCCGTGGCTGGTTTGACTTCCACCTAGCTGATCTGCATCTTTGTACCTTGTTTGCCTGAATTGATTTGGTACCATTCAGAAAAGTACACATCATTACTTAGCAGCAAACCAGCTGAATGTGCAATGGCCGGCCCCGGCTTCAGGAGTTCGATGTGGCCTGACACCTTAGCAGAGCAGTTTGACTCCGCTGTCAGATCTAGGCTCTTTCTTGCCTTGCATTCAACTTTCTCATACTCTACGTCTCCACACTTCTTCCGCCATCGTCTTGAATCCTGGCTTCGTCATGTATTTATGAATTATTTTGCATCCATCGGCTGTTTCAACTTTCAGCTGCCCCCCCCCCCCCACATACACACTTTCTCAGTGTCTACACAACTTTCTACACACATTTCTACTTTGCCAGACTTCAATAGCTGGCGAAATACGCTGCTATTGCATTGGCGTCTCGCCTGCACGCACGCCTGCACATGCAGATGTTCATGTACTTAGTGAATACTATAATGGTTTTCGTCATTGCATTGGTACAATTGAAATTTGAAACAGCGGTCAAAACTATCCTCCGTCTTTGTTGAGATGATTGTTCGTATGAACCAGTCCACGGTGTGCAGTTGTGCAGCTTTGGCCACAGAGCTGTAACTACTGTGCTCCCTTGTTCTGTGAAGTTCAATGGATGTGAATGTGTTGACATGCACTACTGTTCTGCAACATGATAATCACCAGGTGAATACGAGTAGCTCGGCATTGGCACATTGGGATGTGTCTGTCATCCGCACTGCTGCTTATTTACGGTGATGAGATCGATCATGGCAAATTCCAAATTAACATACAACTCCCTGCAAACAACACAGTAGTATGTGTACAATGTCACCAAGAGAAAAAATTGATAAGCTTTCTATCTGGTTTTACTCTTCTGATGATGTTGTTGGTCGCTTGCTGTCAACTAACAAGTACAGCGGTAGCGCTGTAAAAAAATTCCGAAACCAACAGCAACGGATGACGATGACGGCATCAAGACGCAGTTGGCAAAGTAATACCGGCGGTAGTTGCATGCATATGCATGCATGACCTCGTTATCTTCTATTTCCAGGTCCCTTTCGATTTTTCAATTTTCACACACTAAATTACATGAACAGTTGTAGACAAGACAACTTTATGATAAAGGTTTGACGAAATTGTAGGCAAGAGTACTGTTGTTATCACAGAGAACGTACAGAATGATCATGTTTATAAACTGAAAGGACGAATCAGCTGTGTTGCTAGAGAAGAGTTATGGCAGAAATTCGTGCCACACCGCTAGGTTGGTGTTTTGTGTTGTCTGCTGAAGTGGTTATGGCTTGGAACAAGATATTGCTTATCGCTTTGCTGTGTGCTTTGTAACCCCGGCCTCTGTGATGTGTGTGCATTCCATACATCCAACCAGGTGCTGGGCAAGGTCAGTGGAGTCTAAGTGTATTCTCTCCTGATTGTTTTCTTTGAATGAATTTAATGAGTTTCGTTTGAATTGAAAAGTAAACAAAAATGTTATTGATATAATGCAAACAAATTTCCCTCAACAGTGTCATTCTCATAATGTCATACACAATTGGGGTAAATTTAGAGCAATTATAAAAGACACAAATGGGGCACACGCTATGCGTATAGCCCACCAAATACACCAGATTTTGGACAGTCGTAACATTCAAGGACTTAGCACAAAAACTAACAAATGAGTGGGGCATCTTGGAACCATTCGAATCTCGTTCTGGTCGCTATGGTGCACATGTAGTTTTCTCATTCCTCTAGCACATACTGGACCGTTGGTTCTGTGTGTATTGTAGATCCGTAGTACTGCACCACTTGTCAAAGGAGCAAAGACGCACCCTTTAAGTGCAGGCTCCACTTGGCGCAGAGCAAATTTCTTTTGGATTGAGCTCAGGGTGATAGTATCACGGGCTTACGTATACTGTAAAGCGAGAAACGTTTCCTGCGTGCAAATTTTGCTATTTTATGAATCGCACTGGTTCACGATGAGAAACGTTCGCAATTTTATCTCTTCAGTTGGATCTTGTATTGTCCAAGAACAATCCGAAGAGCAGTTTGCGGTGATTTACATTCACGAATGTGTGAATTTGGCATTGCAATGTGTGATTGTCACGAAAATATCAGGGTTCACCCAGGTATTCCGCATGTACACAAGCACTTCCAACATGTCGTTGATGGTGTGGACGTGCCAATGTGACGATGGCGCTGCAGTGGTTGTGACTGCAAGTTGTGTAACCTGATAGTCCATTCTGCGTAGGCACACACACTAGCACTTGAAGTACTTGTAGTAGTATAGCGCTAGCTAGTGCATCTGTGCTGCCATCATATTTGCACTATTCACGCCATGCTCCCCACCTTTGCCGGTGTATGTTCGGCGCTGACGTTGCATCTCATTTCTCTCCCTCACGTGTAAGTGATTAGCATGTGTGGTCTAGGGCATGCTGTTCAGATGAGGAAGTTGTATGATGCATGTAGAAGCACGAAATTCTGAGTCCGCAACCGATCCTGTGTTTTCGTGTTGTTTCACGACTTTGTGTCATTGTTCCAATCTTTCTGCAACTCGGAGACTTTGCACTGAACTCGTACTCTGTGATAGTGAATTATGTATGTGTGATGGCTCTTTCCCGGTTTGCCTAGATGTTGGCCGCAGCTGTATCCTGCTCTCGGTGGGCGGCAAGAACATCATGATGGACTGTGGCATGCACATGGGATACAATGATGGCGTGAGTCCTGCAGCCAATTGAACTCTTTAAGACATGAGAACTTCTCGTGTCTTGACCCAAATAGATTGTATAGTCTTGGTTATCACAGGGGTTGGAATATAGGGATGTTGCAGCAGAACTCTCAGCCGTTTTGTAAACTACACTTGTTGGGCCAAATAATGATAATGTTCTACCGCTTTGCAACTACTGCCATATTTTCGACCCCAATACTCTAATTTCAGAAATTTTCGGTGCTCAATATTTTCGGTATAAGGGCAACAGGCCAGGCTAGGTGAACAGAAATTTTCGGTACAGAGAAGCAGTTCCCTATTGAATGTGTGTTAGTGTTTGTTCGGTGTATTGAAATTTTAGGTATGAAGCAGACGCACCGAAAGTACCGAAAATAAAAGTACACCGAAAATTTGTGAAATTACAGTACTTGAGGCTTCGATTTATCGGTTCTATCGGGTTTTAGTTCATAAAAGGTCGGCTTATAACCGGAAAATTTGGTAAATATAAGCTGAAATGAAAATAGGCCGGCTCCAAACAGCAACCTTTGGCTTGCAAGGAATAAAATAAGCAGCCCTGCAAAACTACATACTGAGTTGGAATCCAAAAGATGTATGTAATCGGAAGAGTATTGATCAAGTTAGGGGGTGATATGTCTGTACTGTATACTTCACTAAATAGATTGTGCGTCTAAGACGCAGCCTAGTGCGTCTAAGACGCATCCTTATTCTTGATAATTGAGGCGTCAAATTTTGGCAGAAGGCATTTGGCAACCTGTGATATTGCCTAAATGTTTTAATGTTTTTGGTGGAAAAGAAGCTATGCGTCTGGACGACCAAAACTCGGTCTCATGGTGCGATCAGCTTCGCTTCCCCGCAACGATACACAATGCCGCTCGTTTTTCCCACTAAAACTTGCGGCATGTAGCCGGAATGGCGATCAATTCCTCCATGGAGACCATGTTGGCATGTTCAACAAAACCCAGGTTGACATTGCAGAGGCTGCGCCCAGACATATCGTTGATAGTGAATCTAATGCACAACACAAAAAAGGAACTTATCAGCACTCAATAAAGAATATCGTTTAAATAAAAGTGTTTTGCATGGCATATGATCAATCGAGGAAAATCGTTAGGTACCGTACTGGCAATATAATATATGGTCGCAGTGAGGCCATGAAGCGTTACATTGGCACATGTTTACCGCACGCAGGGCGTTACATGCAAAGTCGCACAGGAGCCGTTACACAGGTTTCTATATTGCCGCAGTCCTTTTTTTGCTATTGCCGCATCACTTTTTTGCTATTGCCGCATCATTTTTTTTGCTATTGCCGCATCATTTTTTGCAAACTGCAATGAAAAGATCGCCGCACCCCGCCGGACGCGCGTTACGAACGCAATGAAAATTTGTCGCACTAGCCTGGTCACGCGTTACGCCGCACCCCCTGCGTTACGCGGCAACATATATGCACCCCGCCGGACGCGCGTTACGAACGCAATGAAAATTTGTCGCACTAGCCTGGTCACGCGTTACGCCGCACCCCCCTGCGTTACGCGGCAACATATATTGCCAGTACGGTAGTAACTTACTTTGCAGACCCATGTCGCTTCTTGGGATTGCAATCGTCTTGTTTGGCGTCTTGATCTAAGCCTGAATCAGAGAAATCACACCAACATCTCTGTTTAATTTTGTGTGCTTTAACAAGAGAGCTTGGAAGCTCAGGGCCCTACGCTATGCTTTTTTGCCTTGATGACCTAGACAAAAAAAAGCATAGAGATGTTATAAAATTCTTTAAAAAATTCTTTTTTTTAAGACATAACCTGGGATTCGAACCCGCACTATCGCGCCCTGCATGCATCCCCCGATACACTTCGCATACATACTAATTCTTCCAAGTTGCTTCACATTATGATGTTGCGTTTGAAAGCCCTATTTGAATATACATTGTGGCCAGCCGTCTTGTATGGTACGGTACGGTAGGGATAGGTACGGGACAGGTACGATCGAGGGTAATACGACACCGTCTCCCGTACCGTACCATCAAACACAGCTGGCCACATACAGCTGCCCGCATTATTCAAATAGGGCTTTCAAACGCAAGATCATAACGTGAAGCAACTTGGAAGAATGGGTATGAATGCGAAGTGTATGGGGGAATGCATGTAGGGCGATAGTGCGGGTTCGAATCCCAGGATATGCCTGAAAAAATAGGAGAATTGAAAAATTTATAACATCCCTATGATTTTTTGCCATCAGATACGGGATAGCGCCAGGCGTGACACAAACAAACAAACACACAAATACCAAATTAAAGCTGTGTGGACCCTGGCTAGCGCCAGACGTTACTGAAGTAACGTCTTCTGCATAGCTACGGGAATTAAATAAAAATGGTTGGGAAAGCCTTACCTTCGGAAATCGGTGATCCAGGGTGTTCATTATCGGAGAGGGTCGCGAATCGGTTGTTAGTTTCTGCCCAGCATACAAAACAAGTTTAAAGGTTGAATTTGGGTGTAAAAAAACAGCTTAACGCCCCGAGTAGAGGCCACCTTGGAACCTACATTTGTATAACAGTATTCAGACAAATCATTTCTGTGTAAGTTGAGTTTGAACACTTAATCATGAAGCTGATACAGTCGAGCGGACAAACAAAATGGTACTTACGGGTTCGCTTGTAAACGGGCGTTGACATTTTGATATGCACAGAGTCCAGCTCAATGTACAAATCTAGAGGACAAAAAAGGATTAGCAAGAAAACTGCAAATTTAAACAAGTGCTCATAACAGGCAGATAAACAGCTCTAGTTTGCTTTAAAATATTCTTCTAATTATCTATTAAATAATTACCAGAACTTTTTTAAAGCTATGACCAGCATGCTAGATGGCCATGCCCTCACAGCCTCACACTCACACATAGCCATGCGCGGAAATCTACGTTGAACAAGATTCCTCATGTATTTCACTGCTCAACCAACGAGAAATGATAGCCTCTCACTTTGGTCATTCTCAGTGACCATCAGCAAGGTTGATCAATTCCTGATACCCGATCAGGGCCAGGTCAATGTTCTCAGCCAGGGACATACTGAGTCAGCCAGGGACAACAAGCATGGCGGTGTGCTGAAATTACAATAGAAGGGCCGGCAAGAGGCTGGCCTGCGGAGCAACAAAAACAGTCAAAATCGAATGCATAATTCGAAGTACGAAAAGTGCGCCGGTTGGATAATTCGAACCCAGTCTTCGTACAGAAGAGCTGTTCATGTTTACAGTACATTGGCTATGTCCTTTGAACGCTTATTTCGAAGTGAGATTGAGTTGCTATCCTTGTAATTCGAAGTTCATTCTTTTCTCCTTCTCTAGCCAAGCGTAGCTCAAATCGATCGATGGTCCGCTGCAGGATCGACTATAGCGTTCAAGAAACCCACCTTCTCTCGAAATTTGATTCAAGCCCGTGCGAGGCAAATCGCAAAGGTTTGATTGAAGACGACTTCTTCCAGGTGGCTGACTCTCTTCGCGGATCTCGATGGCCTTTCTTACCGCGCCAGCTCGTGCGCGGAGATGTTGGCGCACACCAACACTGTTGTCGTAAATATTGTCTATGTCTTTGCTCCACTTCCGTTCTTCAGAACGACGTGCTGCTGTCCAACGGCCTTTCATGACGCGGATTAGGCAGCGCAGTTCTTTTCCGTTGAAATTGTTTCAGGAAAGCTGCAGTGACTGACAACTAATAATTATTACTTCTTCACTAGAAGATGAAGCTTCGAAGATAATGTCAAAATGATTTTGTGTAGATCCAGTGTTTTGATGATCCGTTGTACAGTCTGTATCGGCTATAGAGTGACCATGGTGACCGGATGAAAGAATAATATCGGCTACAGTGATATTGGTACGAAATATCAAAAGCAAAACGTCTTTTATCCAGTAAAAATATCACTATAACCAATATTATCGGATGTAATGATATATCGGATATTATGATGGCAGCAAAGAATCAAAACATGCATAACACACTATATTATTATCGGCTATAGCGATAACTATAAAATGCATGTAGCAATAATATCAAAGGCCCTATTTTTTTACTTTCTTCACGTTTCTTATTTTTATAGTGATACATGTACATGTACATAAGGCCATGGTAAAAATTATCTTTGATTCTCAAGTACGCGCGCACCGATTTTTGGCGGCGCACCGACGATTTTTTTTATTTCTAAGCATGCATATGCGTGCATGAAAACGGTCAATGCGAAAGGCATGAATCCGGGAGTAGTAAGATACTGGTATTTTTCTACTCTCTGGCCTGAATAATAAAATAATTATAAATTAATTATGAACCTGTGACGTACACATGTGTGACCCTATCTTTGGAAATAAAAAAAATTGTGGGAATTAAAATATAAAATCGCTCGCTCGCACCGATTTTCACAGGCTCATGACCTGAGAATCAACTTTATTTTTTACCATGGCCTAACAGAATTTTTTTATGGAAATACGGGCACTGTCAACTATGCAGCATGCTCATTTGTCAAAACGCCATGCTGGAAGTATTTCCTTGCCTTTCATGTGTCGATCGAAATAAAATAAAAAAATCGATCGTATCGCATATAGTGATGCATCGGATATTGATAATATCACGGAAATCAAAAGGGTACGCTATAGCCGATACAGACTGTACATGACCGCGCGCGTACCGGTACGACCACGTACCTATGTTTCGTTGATGCAAATAAAAATGTGCAAAAAATATTCAGCATGCGATTTCAAGCATTTTGACATACATATCAGTGCATGGGGCTGCATTTGGATAATTAGAAGTTCCGGATAATTCGAAGTTAGGGCCTGGCAATTTGAGGTTCGAATTAAAAAGGGAGTCTACCTGTATTGCACCTGTGTTCGGCGTGGCTCTGTCGATTGATTGCTCGGTGGCTTGGTCAGATGCTACTTGAGCAAAAGGGTTACGGAACGCTGGACTGAGAATCCACCCTGTTCCAAGAAGGCTTGAGCTTCTGGGTGATTTAGTGGCAGTTGAGTCCTGTCAAGCCAGTAGTATGGCGTGAATCGAGCATAGTTGACTCGATCATATGTAAAATGCCAGGGAAGCATATCCCGTACACACACACACACACACACACACACACACACACACACACACACACACACACACACACACACACACACACACACACACACACACACACACACACACACACACACACACACACACACACACACACACACACACACACACACACACACACACACACACACACACACACACACACACACACACACACACACACACACACACACACACACACACACACACACACACACACACACACACACACACACACACACACACACACACACACACACACACACACACACACACACACACACACACACACACACACACACACACACACACACACACACACACACACACACACACACACACACACACACACACACACACACACACACACACACACACACACACACACACACATACACACAAACACACAAACACACACACACACACACACACACACACACAAGTCATATTCAGCAAGCAGTGCTCATAGATAGTCATAATGCTGGGGCCATGCCCCCCCCCCCCCCCCCCCCCCCCGGGGCTCTGTTATATTCATGAAGCCAGATTTCACTTGCAGCAATTGTCCATGTACGCGTACTATACACTACCATACCATGTGTCTGTACATACTCACATGCTCGCACTGTGTCTGCATGCACGTACATGCACCTATTCGTTCTTATTGTGCGTGTGTATCTTTGCTTGGGCTGCTTGCAGCGTCGCTTTCCAGATTTCACCTACATTGCCGAGGCTGGTCGTCTGACCGAGCATCTGGACTGTGTCATTATCAGGTAAGTTGTAGTCAATTGTAAGCTTTCCCAAGCACATCTATTCATAGGGAATTTGAGGGGTATTCCAGATTGTCCCCCCCCCCCCCCCCCAGCTTCAAGTAGTGAAGGGGTACATGTACAATGTACTGGATTGGTGCACTCTTTGTAGTTTACTTCTCATGATTTGTGCTTTGTTGGTGGCAAGAGGACATGGCAGTGGTGGCCGAGTGGTTAAGGCGATTGACTCGAAATCAATTGGGCTCTGCCCGCACAGGTTCGAATCCTGTTCACTGCGATTGCATTCTCCTTTTTTGTTGTTGCTTTGTTTGCGTTTTTTTCTTACAAAAATGTGTGCTTGACTCTTCCATGATCAACGTGTAACTTGCTCCGGCACTTCCTCTACCAGTATTTTACACGACGTACAACACATGCCAGCTTATGATTTACATCGAGCAGATTCCTCCGGATGGAATGATCATGAACCAGGTTGCCGTGCTGAAAAACTGCATGCAACATTATTCTCATGGAGGATTACGTGTCCTTTACTGATCCTTTACTCTTATTTTTCATACAGTCACTTTCATCTGGACCATTGCGGCGCGCTGCCATACTTCTCGGAAATGGTTGGATACGATGGGCCCATTTATATGACACATCCGACCAAGGCCATTGCACCGATATTGCTGGTGAGCTGTACATGTACTCGTAGTCAATGTCAGGATAGTTGCCTGTTGTTTGTAGTTGAAGTAACTAGTATCGTATTAGTAGAGTGTGTTACCCTACTGGGTCTTTCCTGGCTTCTTCAGCTCTCCTGTGTGGGTGCTGTGTGTGTAGTGTTTTTTAAACTTTTTTTGTGTCGCTGTTTTGTTTTTTGATGCCCGGGAGAATAACATTTGTGACTTAGTGCGTATTCTGTAGCGTGTTTGTTGGATCATCCTTCTGATAGGCTACCGATGCAGAAGAAGCACGAATCAATGTTATCATGGCACATTGCTTTATGTTACATCATCTACCTTAGGCTCAGCTGAACTGAATCATGTCTTTGCTTTGGGTAACGTATCTAACGTGGCAAGAATTTCAATGGTCAGGTTTCCTTTTTATTTCCAGATCTAATTTATGCACACCGGTGGTGTCTAGAACATCCACCGGCCACAGCCAACCAGTAGAACGTGATGTTGTAGCCCTTCACGATCATACTGCTAGACCCTACAAACACAATGTGAGTGTGATGCTGCACTCTGCTCAAAGAAAGTGAAATTTTTCCATCCATTCTGCTCTTGCTGGCATGTTTGTGTTGCCTTGATGCAGGAGGACTATCGAAAAATCTCCGTGGATAAGAAAGGAGAAACAAACTTTTTCACGTCTCAGGTAGGTACGCTGTGTTTTGAATAAGTGTTGTTCCTGAACCCAGTGACTGGACTGTGCATTAGTGTTGTTCCTGAACCCAATGACTGTACGTGGCTTGTAGTTTTGATATTTGTAATAATTATTTGTTTCGCCATCTCCACAGATGATCAAAGATTGCATGAAGAAGGTGGTTGCCGTCAATCTCCATCAAATTGTGGAAGTACGTTCATGGTATTATAGCATTCCAGCTCTGTCCTTTCCTGCTTCATGCCACCGATACTACATTACTAGTCTGTATGTCTGGGCCGCCAATGACAATGCAATGTACATTGGTAACAACTTACTACTACTAACTAACTAAAGTGACATACAATATAGCAATGTTTGCCTTTCCTATCTGCACAGTTCCTCTTCTTCTGTTGACTTATTGACGTTGTTGTGTACGTTTTAGCATCATCATTGTCGATTTGAGCACAAAAGTCATCTTTTCTTTTCTTTTTTGGTCTGTTGAGGTGCTCATCATCTACCTGATGTGAGATGTAACTCACCACAGTCCTATAACTTCAGTTTGTTTGTGCTGGTTGTTTCTTCCCTTGGAATTGTGCCACTATGCCTCGTCTGCTACAAGCTTTTCACTGTGTTTCTTTCTCTACCGAATGTCTGCTTTGCTGATAGGTTGACTCGACCCTATCGCTCAAGGCCTACTATGCTGGCCATGTGCTCGGTGCGGCTATGTTTGAGATACGTGTTGGCCAGCAGTCTGTGGTCTATACCGTACGTACTGCGTAGCCGTGTGCTTGATTTCTACATTGCCCTCATCACCGTTTTACTGCCATGTTCATGCTCTTGCCTTATCATGAGCCATTTCTGCTTATCTTGTGACTGGCACTGCTCTTCTTCCTCTATTGCTTTGCAGGGTGATTACAACATGACTCCAGACCGGCATCTTGGGTAAGTGGGCCTGTACGAGTAAATGTGTGGCGGTAGGTGCTGAAGTATGTCGGTATGCTGTCTGTATGTTGTCAGAATGCTGCTGTTGTTGTGCACTTTGCTTTGTGCTTTTCTCCTGCGCATGACGAAATGTCGTGTTCAAAAATGTTGGACGATGAACCCCCTGCACTCGTTGATTTGTAGTGTTGTAGTGTACTTTGCACATTTTGCATGCACTGTCCGCTATTCTCAGATACTAGTACCTAATTGACCTTGTCAGACTGACATACATGTACATGTACCTGCTAAGAGTATTCCTTGCATGGGATGTTTTCTCGCCTGGTCACATTCGAAATTCTCACAGACACTGTTTATGTTATGTACGTCAAGTACAGTCATGCCTTTTGGGTGGTGTGTAAAACTTTTGCATGTGTGTGTGTATGTGTGCGTGCATGCGTGTGTGTGTGTGTGTGTGTGTGTGTGTGTGTGTGTGTGTGTGTGTGTGTGTGTGTGTGTGTGTGTGTGTGTGCGTACATGCATGCGTGTGTGCTGAATTCCCTTCTCAGTGCTGCCTGGATTGACAAGTGCCGACCTGATTTGTTGATCACAGAGTCGACGTATGCCACTACTATCCGCGACTCCAAGCGGTATGTTAGTGGTGTCGTTAAACGTATCTCTAGCCGTGTCTCCGGTGATACACACGTACATGTGTATGTATGCCTGGGAATTAAATAATGGAGAAGCTAGACACTGATTTTCTCTACAAGTCCTGGCTAATGTTGCCTGACAGTTGTGCTCCCTACTGCTGATGTCCCACCCAAGCACATGTATTATTCCACTATGGTGTTGGCCATGTGTTCTTTGTGAGCCTTGTGTGTGATGTAACTATTTCCGTTCACACTGACTGTCATTCATTCCAGATGTCGAGAGCGTGACTTCTTGAAAAGCGTTCATGAGACTGTGGAAAAAGGTGGAAAAGTTCTGATTCCCGTCTTTGCGCTTGGCCGTGCTCAGGAACTCTGCATCTTGCTGGAGTCATTCTGGTAAGTTTGAATGGGTAGATGTTGTGTCAGAGGATGTATACTGCAGTGTGACCTAGGTACCTTTTTTTTTTGTGTAAAACCGTTATTCTACATGTTAGTGCAAACCACTTGGAATTTGTCTACTACTTGCTTCAGATGAACTGTCCACACACACACACTCATATTTTTCTATCTCTCTGTCTCGCTCTCTGTCTCGCTCTCTGTCTCGTTCTCTGTCTCGCTCTCTGTCTTTCTGTCTCGCTCTCTGTCTCTGTCTCTCTCGGTCTCTCTCTGTCTGTCTCTGTCTCGCTCTCTGTCTTTCTGTCTCGCTCTCTGTCTCTGTCTCTCTCGGTCTCTCTCTGTCTGTCTCTGTCTCTCTCTGTGTGTCTCTGTCCCTCTCCCTCCCCCCCCCCCCCCCCTCTCTTTCTCTCTCTCTCTCTCTCTCTCTCTCTCTCTCTCTCCCCCCCCCCCCCTACTTCAGGGAACGGATGAATCTCAAAGCACCAATCTACTTCACCACCGGTCTCACAGAGAAGGTGAGTTGTGTTTCATTCCTGTGGCTCTTCGAATATCAGCTACCCACCTTCTGATACATGCTGTTCATGCAGCTGTATATAAATGATTCTCGCACTCTTGAGCAGGGGCGCCAGATGACCGTACCACTTCTTATCATTGGTACTCATTTTTTAATGAAATGCGATACATTATTGGCCCAGGGATGCAGTTCATGTACCGGCTGATGTAGTTGTTTGCCCATACGACAGCAAGGGAAAAGTGTATATGGCTTGGGCGTGGTGACTCGGGAAACACAGTAAAATGCTGCTGCGCCTGCATGTCGTTTTGCTGTATAAGTACTAGACACGCCGGACGTCGCTGTCAGTACTTCTAAGTATATGTACATGTGCATGGATGCATGGTGTTTTCCGCCTAACTTTAGTGTATAAGGCCATCATTTTCTATATCTATGTTTCGCGTCGTCCGCACGCATACGTTTTGATTTTTTTCGGAAAAAAATAAAAAAATTGAACATGCACAGTGAGTGTACGGTCGTGCGAGTCATCAGTGCGGACTGGTTGCATGCGGCGAAGCTGGGATTCAGAAATGGCCTTGAGGCCAGCGTTGGTAAATCGTTTGTTCGGCATCTGCGAGCAGTATTCTATGAGCTACTAGTAGTTACTTACACTAGACCGCATCGGTCGCCTCAAGCTGAGAGGATGCGTCGTTCCCGAGCTCTTTACACCGCTACTGAAGTCTGAGTACAATAATCCAGCGAAGCATGGGCACCAACGGTTGCCTCCTCTGTCCAAAGTGAATATTTACTCATGCTGATAACCCATATTTTGTGCTTCGATGTACGATTTTTCTTTCGAATGTACACCATGCACGCATGTGCTATGTACGAGCGTACACTAGTACTTTACACCTCCGATAAGCCTTTTTTATTATTCTGCAATTTTTTATTTTTTCCTACCTCTCGCATATGATTCTGGAAGTTGAACTGACGCGAAACATAGATATAAAAAATGATGGCCTAAGAGAGATAGGTGCCCTTGAAGACTGCATATGTGGTCTAAAGGTATGCCTAATTCTCTTCAGTACAGTGTGCCTATTGGCTTGTTAGTAAAGCTGATGTTATTTCACATGGTCTTCAAGAACACCTAGTCCCTACTGCATTCCTGATGTATAACCTTGTGTTATTGGTACAAGTACATGTTATGTGTGTATGTGTGTACGTGTCTATGTGGGTTGGGTGTGTGTTCGTTCTTCACTTGTCATCTGTAGGCCAACCACTACTACAAGCTGTTTGTTGACTGGACAAATCAAAACATCAAGAAGACGTTTGTTCACCGCAACATGTTTGAGTTTAAGCACATCAAGGTAGGTATGTGTGTTGTTGTGCGTGTGTGCTTTTGTGTGTGTGCGCGTGTGTATCTGTGTGTGTGTGTGTGTGTGTGTGTGTATGCGTGTGTGTGTGTGTGTATTTGTGTGCATGTGCGTGTTCTGTGTGTGTGTGTGTGTGTGTGTGTGTGTGTGTGTGTGTGTGTGTGTGAGCGCATGTGCGTGCGCGCGTGCACGTGTGTGCGTACGTGCGTGTAGTAGGCTAGAGTGATGCTTCTGAGGTCCATGCTGAGCTCTATGCTGCCAGCCCTTGTATAGAGTAGCGGTGCACATAACTGAATGGTGGGAATGGTGCTGTTACCAAGTACATGGACCAAGGGCTGTCCATGCGTGCACGTTTGCTTTGCTGTGTGCCCTGGTGTGCGTCTTGCTGTGTGCATTTCTCCCTGTCGAGGGGAACTGTTCTGCTTGATGAGCATGCTGACCACTGCGGCCATTGCTGTTTCTGCTGTGTGTACTTTTAGCCATTTGATGCATCATACATGAAGGAGCCTGGACCAATGGTGAGTCAGCTCTAGTACAGACACCCCACACTGGTACCAGTTACCACTCACTGTCATGATTAGGATCTGAGCAAATTCTTCTCTTGATAAGCAGTCTTAGTCTGACACAGCACTGTAGGCTAGTGTAGCACGGTTTCCCCCTGTAACTCTTACTATTGTGCACAAGGAACAATGGTGGGGGAGAAATTTCGTGTTCCTCCATTTTCTGTCACTCTACATGTATGTGCTGTGAAACATTGCACCATGTTTAACAAAATATACCATACTAGTAACCGTGGTGTAGAGAATGTTATGCTCAGTGAGGACTGAGGAGACGAGACTTTTATCACACCCAGGCAACACAGGTACTATTTTCATTACTCAATCAACTGTCAAAACATTTCCGAAAAGCTTTTCAACAGCGTTCTTATCATTAGATACCTGTACATGAGAATGAGGCAAAGAAAGTCAGACCAATCCATACTACACAACATACACCTGGCAAGTTTCAGAGGACACTTTCTGATACACACCTGGTCAAGGGTGACAATCGTATCACCCGGAACCACAATGAGCAGCCAGTGTTATCACCATGGAGCATTCGGCCGCACCGTTGTAACAGCACACTTGACGCGTAGGACAACAGTAACATCCGCGCCGAAAGCCAGTGCTATGCACGCGGCAGCAGCATGTCAAAGGTGCTGAGATTCTGCAGCCGAAGTGACAGTGCTGTGACTACTAAGCTAGAGCTATGCCTGTTGTCTTTACCCCCACCAGCTATACTTCCTTATGTAGAATAAGTGATAGGTTATCGTTAGCGCTAAGTCTCGTTACACGCCTTTCTATTACAGTAGAATTATTTTGGATGGTCCTGGCTATGTAAAAGCCTCTGGTTCTGGCTTTCTTTCTTCATTCCCATGTATCCACTGACGAAAATGGGTTGAAAAGCTTTTGGAAATGTTTTGTTGAGATAGCAACTTTGTTGCTGTGAATGGTCTGTGGTACTTGTGCACTGGCGGTGTGTGCGTCCGTGTGTGCGTGTTTGTGTTGTGTTTACAGTAGATAAGCCTAGCTGTATCTCTCGTGTGTTTATGTTACTTATGGAAGGATTCCATGCCCATTGGCAAATTTATCGTATTAGTAGTTATTTGAGCAGCCAGTTCTGATGAAATGAGACCTGTTGCATAGCAACACATCAGAGCTGCCTAATTGTGACTAGTCTTGCTATCTGAGTCAGCTTTGGTACCTACTGTATGTGTACTTTGGAACCAAGTTTCAGACAAGAACTGTATCTTTGCCTGGTATGTGTGTGTGTGTGTGTGTGTGTGTGTGTGTGTGTGTGTGTGTGTGTATGTATGTATGTATGTATGTATGTATGTGTGCGTGTACGTGTGCGTATGTGTGTGTGTGTGTGTGTGTGTGTGTGTGTGGTGTGTGTGTGTGTGTGTGTGTGTGTGTGTGTGTGTGTGTGTGTGTGTGTGTGTGTGTGTGTGTGTGTGTGTGTGTGTGTGTGAGTACGTGTGCGTGTGTTTATGTGTGTGCGTATGTGAATCAGGTTGTGTTTGCCACACCGGGCATGTTGCACGCTGGCCAATCTCTGAACATCTTCAAGGCATGGGCAGGCTGCGAGAAAAACATTGTAAGATCATCTGTTATGCCCCTCAGGGTCTTATAGAATAATGTTGTTCTGCAGCTTGGTGTATTCTTGGGATGTGCGTAGTGTGAATTGGTGGAAGTTGCTACTTTGCCATGACTGCACCCAATAGCATTGTTATTCCCGTAGCTATGCAGAAGACGTTACTTCAGTAACGTCTGGCGCTAGCCAGGGTCCACACAGCTTTAATTTGGTATTTGTGTGTTTGTGTGTTTGTTTGTTTGTGTCACGCCTGGCGCTATCCCGTATCTGACGGCAAAACAAGCATAGGGATGTTATAAATTTTTCAATTCTCCTAGTTTTTTCAGGCATATCCTGGGATTCGAACCCGCACTATCGCCCTACATGCATTCCCCCATACACTTCACATTCATACCCATTCTTCCAAGTTGCTTCACGTTATATTCTTGCGTTTGAAAGCCCTATTTGAATATTGCGGGCAGCTGTATGTGGTACGGTACGGTACGGGAGACGGTGTTGTATTACCCTCGATCGTACCTGTCCCGTACCTATCCCCTACCGTACCGTACCATCAAAGACGGCTGGCCACAATGCATATTCAAATAGGGCTTTCAAATGCAAGATCATAATGTGAAGCAACTTGGAAGAATTAGTACCGTATTTTACCGGTTGTAAGTCGACCCCGGTTATAGGTCGACCCCGTATCCGGAGGTCTCAATTCCGCGTTAGTTTTCACCCAACGAAGCACTACTAACCACTCCCTGCTACTAACACATCAACAAATCATGTAAACATTCCTTATTGGAGAGTATAATTTCCCAATCCTTGAAAAAGGCAAAAATGGCAAAAATGTGTACACATGGTGCTCTCGTGCATGCAGTGCAGGTCATTTTTTGTAAGATACTGATAGTTCCCGGTTATAAGTCGAATTCCGGTTGTAAGTCGACCCTCACCCTTTCTCCTTCTATTTTTAGTCGTAAAAGGTCGACTTACAACCGGAAAAATACGGTATGTATGCGAAGTGTATCGGGGGATGCATGCAGGGCGCGCGATAGAGCGGGTTCGAATCCCAGGTTATGTCTTAAAAAAAAGGAATTTTTAAAAGAATTTATAACATCCCTATGCTTTTTTTTGTCTTGGTCATCAAGGTAAAAAAGCATAGCGTAGGGCCCTGAGCTTCCAAGCTCTCTCGTTATTGGCAACTCGTAAAGTGTGATACATGTACATGTATGTATACTTCAAAGTCACTGACTGCAGAGAAGAGTGTCCTACCTTGACTTGTGCCGGTTGGCCAGTTTTTTTTAACCTGATGGACCGAGATTCTAATATGCATGTACCTTGTCTTTGCGTGCGCACGTGTGTGTGTGTGTGTGTGCGCGCGCACGCGCGCTTGCGTGCGTGTGAGCATGCGTGCTTGTCTGTGCATCTGCATACATGTGTGTTTATCTGTCTGTACGTGTACGCGCATCACTTCTGCAGGTTATTATTCCCGGATACTGCGTTCAAGGCACGGTGGGCAACAAAGTCCTCTCCGGTCAGAAGCGTATTGAGATCAATCACAAAACAGTAAGGCCGTAGTTCACCTGCTGCTGTATGTGTGCCCGTCGCTGAGTATGTGGATTGTGTACTTTAAGGTATTTGACTGTAGCTTTGGAAGACATGCTACCCAGCATGGAGACTCTTGCTGCATACCCAGCCCCGATGTCAATGAGAAGACTGGCTATTGTTGATCCCAATCTCATAGTCTGTCCTGAACTGGGTGCTGCTTTTGCTAAACATGCATTCAAGTGTGCCGTGTGTTATGTTTCTAGACTCTCTGCTCATTCTGTTCCCGCGAATATGTGTGTCCTTGCCCAGATCGAGGTCAAGATGCAAGTTCAATACATGTCATTCAGGTAATCAGTCCTGCCTGCACTTTCCATGCCTGCTCAGGTCTCCTCTAACAGGTGCCTGTGTTGGGGGATTTCCCGCACACTCATGTATACATGTAGCTATACACTCGAACGTCTCTTACGCGGACGCCTCAGATACAGACACGTCTCTCTACCGGGCACCTTCAGCTTGAGTTCCTATGGCAAAAATGCTTCGAATTTGGGGGGGGGGGGGGTGAACTGTTTTTCGTATGTGCAAGTGCTTATTTGTCACTGCCAACCTGTGAAATCCACACATTTTTATCAATGCATTCTTTCTGCAACCTGAACATGTGCAATACGTGCCAAACGAAAGTCTTCAAAAAATGATATGATACATGGTAGGTGAGTTATCCCGAGATACGGGCAAATCTGAGATTCGGGCAGTGCCCGGTCCCAAGGTGCCCGGATGAGAGACGTCCAAGTGTACATGTACTAGTACTGGCCTGCCTGTGTTGGGGGATTTCCCACACAGTCATGTATACAGTGTATGTAGCTATACTTGCCTGCCTGCTGGTCGGTTGGCCGGCTTATCCCTTGGTCAGTTCATGCATTGTGGCGGTCAGGCATACTGACACACTGGTGGTTGAAGTACCACCCTACTGTGACCCAAGGTTGACTTTTTGAGTCCTTAGTACTGCCCTGTCAAGAACCCGGTGCTGCTGTTGTCGCAGCCTCTATGTCCTGTAGACTATTGAATGCTGTCACATTGTATCTAACAGAGTGAGACCATGCCCTGTTCACGTACTTTCCCTGTTGCAGTGCACATGCCGATGCCAAGGGTATCATGCAGCTGATTCGCATGGTAAGTGTTACGCAGTAGGTGTGCTAGTAGCAGATGTTTAAAGGTACTGTATTGTGTCCAGTAGAATTAGTACAGTACTGGTTCGTGGGTGCCGGACTCGCTTCTACGTGTTAGATTGGCGCTGCATCTTGATGGCCTGTATGAGCAGATGAAATGCAGACTGTGAAATGAAAAATAAAATAAATATTACGAATCCACGTACAGGGCTGGTCAAGAACCACCTTTCTGCTTCCGTGGCACTCCACCACCCCATGATCGGGTATCAGATTCAGCTCCTAAATGATGGGGGAGGATAGATCAGATCCACCAAACAGAAGCCATAGGCCGAAATCCCATTTGCCGCATCCGTGCTACCCTTGTGCCAGGCTACAACTTCCCAATTCACTGTAGGCCGCAGCACGGTTGGAAAAACCCACCCACTTCCAAGCAGGACTTAGATCTGGTACCTCTCGTAACTCAACTATGGTCTTAGACGAACCCCCGTAGATGACTAAGTCAATGGTGTTCGAACGATGACAGGAAAGGCAGTTAGGGACCTGTCAGCAGGCAATACGCTGTCCCCTCCATCTGAATCTTCGCTTGACTCTGTTTGACCTACGAATATCAACTTCACTTGTAAGAGTGGAAGCAGAAATGAGTGTGAGTATTGCTGTGGACGGTTGCTAGTGCCTGTTGCGCTTTTCTCACAAAGCTCCATGTGCTTAAATCAAATGTTGCAAGCGTGGAGAAAGTGCGGGGAGCATTGTCATTAACAGCACTTGCGCACAAGTCACTGATTTGAAATTTGAGCGAACATGTCTAGATCTGGAACAAGGAATTCAACTGAAAAGGTTTGCGCCAAATCCTTGACAATTGTGAGTTCATGCAGCTCACTCGTCAAAATATGTGTGTGTGTGTTTGTATGTATGTGTGTCTGTGTGTGTGTTCGCTCATGTGTGTGTATCTGTGTGTGTCTGTCTGTCTGTGTGTGTTTGTGTGTGTGTCTGTGTGTGTTTGTGTGTGTGTGTGTGTGTGTGTCTGTGTGTGTGTGTGTGTCTGTGTCTGTGTCTGTGTCTGTGTTTGTGTTGGTTTTAGTGTCAGCCACGCCATGTGATGCTTGTGCATGGGGAGGGAGAAAAGATGGAGTTTCTGCACAGCAAGATTGAACAAGAGTTCGGTACGTATCTCACCCTAGACATACTAACCTAACTACATGTGTGCAGCAGAGTGCAGATTGTTCACACCCCTGTGGACGCATGCTTGTCTCTATGGTATTGGGATAAAGGAGCGACCACACGTGCATCTAAAACATGTACTTACCCTCGTGGTTTAATCACCTTTCAAACTCTTAGGCAGTAGCACAGGAGTTAGCCACACTTCGCACCTTCAGCTCCTGGACATGATGTCATGGGGATGCATTTTGACGACAACCTGCTGCCATACATCCTGTGCACCTTTTTAAAAGGTGCTGCGGGTGGGGGAAATCAGCAACACTCACTTTTGTCCCTTCAATTCAGTGGAAACAGGCATTTCGGTCCTTTTTTCGGATAATCTATTGTTCGGATACCGTATTTCCCCGATTATAAGTCTCACTCGATTATAAGTCGCACCCCCGTTTTCAGGTTTGAGCAATATTGTTGCGATATATTCACTTCAGTAGTAAATCATGCTCGATTGTAAGTTGCAACCCCTTTTTACCCTGAATTTTAGTGTAAAAAGGTGCGACTTATTATCGGGGAAATACGGTAGTTGACGTTTGGATAGTCGGCACTCTGCTGGTATTGTATACACATTCTCTTTCCCCATTTTCGGATCTCTTTTTACCTGTACATTGTAGTTTGAACAGTTGAGATGCAAATGCGAAACAAACAAAGCAAAACATGCAAACAAACTAACAGCAACGACAATGTTCTGAAACTACCGCTGGGGTCCGATTGACGCGAGGCTGGTTTGTTCTTCTACATCTGTACTTCACGAGAAGCAGGGTCATGGTGTAAGAAGGACGACGTATTGCAATACCGTTGATGGATGACAGTGGGAAATGGAAGGATTGATGAGAGAAGGATATACAATGTACTAGAGTAGAACCGTGCACTGCAGTGCAACATTGAGCTATTCTAGCAGACGTGTCGTACTACAGTGCTGCTCAACGATATCCAGTTGCGTCACTCAAGTACGCGCCACGCATTGTGCAGCCATACACCTGCGAACACTGGGCAGCGAAATGTAGCAGGGCGCTAACTTGAGTGACGCGGCTGGATTTTACTGAGCAGCACTGTAGTACCCGTCCTCTCACAAGCCCAAGCAAGCTGTACACGTTTTCTAGCATCCTTGTTCACTTGTTGTACTGTTGTTTGTTGTTGGTTGTCTTGTCCAGGCATTCCTTGTTCGTATCCAGCCAACGGCGAGACAGCGAGCATTGAAACGTGTCCACCCATTCCGGTGGACGTCTCAACGTCCCTGCTCAAACGCCAGCCATCTCTGGAGAGGCAGTACTTTGCTGGTGAGTGACGAAACTATTACTTCAGTAGACATTACTAGACAATACACATTGCTGGGTGTAGGCAGATCTTTGCTGTGTGTAGTCGGATAGGCATTGCTGTGTGTAGTCAGATTATCTCCCTGCACTACAGGGACTTCATCGGGTTGGTCTGGCCTGACGTCATGTCACTCAGATTTCACTTGCCCGCAACTGTTTTGTCAGGGGTGTCACAGGGCAGTGGGGACTCTGGGGAGCGGTATGACCGGGGGTCCGGGGTGTCCCCATAAACAAAAATCGGATTTTCCGGCCAGCAGGCACGCTTTTTAGCGCTCTGCAGCCCCAATGGAGGGTCCCCAAGCACTTATTACACAGCCCCACCTACTCTCACACATGTATTACACAGGAAAATTTAATTCAGAACATCAGCAAGGACACTTGATTCGAAAATGACTTTAAATTATTTTTAAAGGTAGCAGCAGCTCATGCCGAATTACTTTTTCCGAAAATTCACCAGTTTGACACCTTTTTTGCAATGCTAGGTTTGTCCAGGTTGAGAAAATCAATATATTAGGGTATGTAATTGGGCACTTTGGAGGGGTTATGGCCCCTCGAAGTAGCCCAAACAAGGCGTTCTCTAGGAAAGATACAGGTTTGCATTGATGACAATAAAATCCTTCCAACCTCCATCTGTTGCTTCATGTAGTCAGTAATTCGCATAGTATCAGAACACGTCAGGGTAGATTAACCAGCAAAAATACCCTGGTTGAAAGTACATGCTTCTGTGTGAGAAGACGAAACTACAGTATTCCGAATCCCGATTCGATATGGTGCCAAAATGCTTTGAATTTAAATTTTGCAAAATTGGCCCGAAAATGATTTAGTTTTTTTGCTAGTTGCATCGCACTGCGTCAGTATCATAAAGTAATTAGTTATGTCAAAATGATGTTAGGTCATTGGACTCGTTTACCCACTGTTTACAGAAATATGCGAAGAAATGATCGTCTCTCGTAATTGATTCCAGTGGATTTGCCTCAACAGCGTGTGATTATAGTGGTCCTGAATTCCAGAAAATGAATTGAAATGCACTTCTATCATAGGTTAGTACAAGCCTGCCTGATAGAAACCAATGAAAAGCGAACTCCTGTTTGTAAAAGTAGGGTTTTCTCGTATTTCGCGACATAAATGCGAACGTATGGGTGTGGCTTTCACAGGCCCCAATTACAGAGAAGGATTCATTACACACTAGCAATTTTTTGGGATTTATAATAACAACTTGCCTTCATAATGGTTCAACCCTGAAAATTTGAGCAAAATCGGACAGAAAGTGGTTTTTGACCTCCGATATTTTTCGCGATATAGGCCCGAGCTACCACAACAGTTATTAGGGGTGAAACGAGTACTGTAGAAGCAGAAAATTTCTTCGGTCAATAATTTCGTCCAACTCCAAAGAAAAGGAGTTCGTCCGGTTGAAAATTTCGTCCAAAGATCATAAGAGTGTATAGAAACGCTGGACAAATCGATATTCGTCCTACATTTAATTTAGTCCAAAAGCTCCTTGGACGAAAAAGACGAAATTAAATTCCAGACGAATATTTCTGCTTTATATACAGTATCTATTTTGACCAATCGATCACTCATTCATAATATTCGATCGAGTATCCAATTATTTCGAGTATTTTATCAATGTTCAAAAGCGCCAGATTTGTGAGTTCTCGAAGAAATTATCTGTGAACATAGAACAAAAGTCGCCAACGTCTTGTACAGAGTGTAAATATTTTCATCAGTACTTTCATATCTCATAGCAAGAGTACATGAAAACCAGAGTGTGCAGCTTGGGGCCTTTTCTGCTATGGGTGTCTGTCATGGCGAAATTCCGTGATTACATCATATTTGGCCCAGATCTGAGGCGGGAAGTGGCGTAGTGCGTACAACTGAGCTGCAGTTGTGCAGAAAGAGACCTGCTTGAATCCTGCTTGTACGCACTACATCACTAAATGATGTAATCACGGAATTCCGCCGTGACAGCCACCCATCCGAGCTGCACACTCTGGTTTTCATGTACTCTTGCTCATAGTTAATACTGACTCAACGGCATGCATAATGCATACATACTAGTGCACAAGCGGTACAACAAAAGCTTTTGAAAATAGAATGCCAACACTAAAAAAATAATAATAAAAAGAAAACCATCGAGTGCAAAATTTCGAATACTCGCTCGTTTGAAATCTCCGAACGAATACTCGAATATTCGAACTAATCGTTTCACCCCTAACAGTTATTGATAGAAACACAACCAATCGACAACCAACGGACACCGATTCGTTTTGACAGAAACTGTTGTTTGTCGATTGGTTGTGTTTCTAATACTTTCTATCACTAATTGCTATCTTGTCTGCGACTAGAATAATTTAAAAAAGGAACAATAGCTGTTTTATAAACAGCATCACCATTGGTCAGATGCAAGCTGCGTAATAAGATTTAAAACTTTGGAGGTGAAGTGAGACGCCAGGATGGCGAGCTGCGACTCCAGCAAAGACGTGTTGATATCATCACTCCCAAGCTTTGCAATATGCTCCTTCTCGTCCTAGCAGGCAGAACTAGCTGCAGCCTCCTCCTCGGATCGAAGCTTCTGTAAAGCCTTTACTGTCTGCGAAGCCATCCTTTGCCCATCTGCTGCTGAGAGAGACTTGTGTTGGGGCAGCACACTCAAGTTGTCAGCAAGATGCAGACTGACTAGGTGACCAAGACAACTTCCGAACACAACCTCAGACGAGGCTAGTTGATGGCCGACTCCGTTACACTTGGCTGACATCTCGGGGTCGTATTTCGCCAACTCTGTGAATCTCTCAATGCTGGCCTGGATTACTTCGTAGTTCGCCAGGACACTCTGCAATGATGCTGCACGGACAGTCCAACGAGTCGGGCACAGGGTCCGAAGACCAGGCTCATCAGGTGCTATCTCTTCTTTTTTAACTTCGAGAACTCAGCAGTTCGTTTTGCCGAGTACTTGAGCAGCTTGCTCTGCTCATCTTGGATCTGTTTGGCTACACCCTTCCATGTGCCCTTCATAACTGCTGCCCTGTCTTAGCATTGGCCTTTGCAGTTGGTTAGTGACATGCACATGCGAATAATGCTGTCTTTTATTGCCTGTGCAATGAGGAACAAATCCAAAGCAAAACATCCAGCTCGAAACAATGTGATGGGAGTGCAAGTAGTTGGCACGCTGTGCAAAACACCTTGCAAAATAGAGAATTCTCCCACATTCTTCACACTGACTGATACCATAATTATTAAAATGGTGAAATCCCTGAAATGTAACTTTTGCACAGTACATTGTCAATATACAATGCTCTATCAAAAATATTCCAACCGTCAAGAGATAGCGTTTACCTACCTAGACAACGATTGAAGCGTTGGCTGTGTCGATTGCATAAAATCCTAGGAAATCCTCTTGGGGTTGCAGGCTGCCGTGTACCCCATGAACACCTACAACACATTCTTTCACGGTGGAGCAGTTGTCTCAGCAACCATGATAGCAAAGATCTTGTTCCGAATCCGGAGTGACAACCGGCAAAGCAGACAATAGGCCATCACCTAGGAGAGGCAAACAAAAGGCCATTACAGTAAATATGTGAATATTAGTAAGCTGTAGTATATTTCTTTCAAATGCAACATGCTGAATGGCAGCTCTGGTGCACTTGTCTTTGCGACGATTTAGCCAGCGCATAAGACTTTCATCATTATCCAACAATAGAGCCAGAACCCGCCTAAAGTTACTGTCGCACTCTCCACCTCCTGGCCTGGAGCTACCATGCAAGGGGAGTGGAGTCCCTGTCATGCGAGAACGCGCACGGAGCGGAGAACTTGCAGCAGACAAGCACAATTCTCCTTCCGCTGGGCAGTAAACTGGTAGTCCAAGCGCTCACCAGCATCACCGACATTTTCCGGGATTGTCTGCAAGTGATCGACTGCTTCCTTGTGGCAGCGCGGCTTGGCCTGCCTCTACGCTGTGATGTATACGTTAATGAGGGGAACGTATAATGTCCGTATGCAAACGTGTTCACTCCATCTCCAAGGATGTACCTCTTGCTGTCGAACGGTGTAGGACAAATTTGCGGATAGATTCATTGTAGATGTGATGATCTCGGCTGCGTAGGCCGTTCATCTCTCTCTCTCTCTGGATGCTGCGCTGATCACGTAGGAGACAATCCTTGTACGTCTCGAACATATCCTTGGCATGCTTCGATGTCACACACCTTGCCTCCTTCCAATTCTGATAGCCTGTTGTCACGAAGGCTTGCTCCATGGTTCTGGAGGAAAGAAGGCCTTGCCTCGTGGCTCTGATGTAAGTGTGGCAATATTCCCACTCACTTGCGGAGTCCCAGTGCAACCAGGGAAAAACATCAAACCATTGTGACTGGAAGGACCGCCACAGAACAGTCGCTATGCCATAGCGGCGCTTCGGAAAGTTGCAATTCCTGGGCTGATTGGGCTCATCCACAATCTCTGGTCCACCTGTATTGTGTACGAGCCGAGCCGCTGAGTTTGCATCCCAGTTATGCATGTATGTGATGGAAATGGGGGGGGGGGGGGGGGAGCAATAGATCCTCTACATGCCTTGTTTTGCTTGCTTTCAGCTGCCTGTGTATGCGTGTGTTGCATCATTTGCAGCTCCCACAGCCAAGAGGCCCATGTACAACCGAGCCATCTCAGCCGTGGTGACCATCGACCCAGAGCATGGCCCGCGTCCGCGCATCGTCTCGCTCGACGAGGCCTCCAAAACGCTGGGCGTGCGGGCGCATGACCTGCGATTCACCTCCTCTGTCAATCTACCGTCGCAGGCCGTTTCGTTCGGCATTGATGCTGCACAGGATGACCTGGAACGAGAACTGAAGAGGTAACATGACACGTACATGTAGTAGTGCAACAAACGTTTTTTTCCGTGGGGTGTTAGCTGCACTCTTTATGCGCTTGAAAGCTCAAAAATCGCCCCTGCGGCTTAGACTTCAAATGCTGGCTTGCAAATCGACCATCACTACAGCACTCCATGCGTATAATCGAAAGTACTCTTGATATAATGCGTGTAATGCCCAAGATCGAGACTAGAGATGTTGCAAGGGCATTGAGCTAGTAGTACATTGTAAGCACTTCACCTGTGCAATCAGCAGGGAGTCATGGAGTCTAGAGAGACGGCAGCAATGTGCATCTCGCCCCCGGGTTTGGTAAATTTACATGATCTGTGGTCAATGCTACTTTTGGTTGCGATCACGGCCTTGAGCTACTAACCCCGTATGCGGCCCAGACCAACGATGCCGTATTCGAGCATGCCTAAATCTGCCCTGCCTCAAGGCCGACTGCAACGGACAGCCTGAGAGTAAAACCCACATTGTTTTACGTTGTAGTCCCCGTGTTGCCTCTCTAGATGTTATGATTGCCTGGTGATCAGCTTCATGTATTGTACTCATTTACGTGGCATTGAGAATTGCCTGACCTGTGTCTGTGTCTTTTCCATGCGTGCTCAGTTGGTATCCAGGCCGGGATCTGTCTATACATGGTGTGGGTAGTTTCTCACTTGGTGACATATCCATGGAGGTAAGTCACAACAATCATGTATTGAATAAACGACGCGGAGACAACAATTTAATACAGGTGGAATCCTGATAATTCGAATATGGCTTAATTCGAACATACCGCTTAATTAGAAGTTTTTCCAGGACCGATTTCTGTCAATACGATTCCCACATAAAACTTTCTGATAATTCGAACCTTGAACCGGACATGTCCGGTCAATTAGAAGTCCCACGGATTCCACTTACTGTAAATTAACTAATTTTCGCTGGCAATTTAATTTCGCTGATTTCGCCGGTCGATGTCAATCGGCCAAAATTAATCGCCGGCCAAAATTTGTCACCAGAACCAAATCATATGCCGCCGGACTCTCTGTAAAACACTTCGTACAGAAGACAGTGGTGTACAAACTATGCAGACCTTTCTACTACTATACATGTACCTCTAGTACATGTGCACACGAAACATCGATCACTTTTTCGGACTCTTTCACGCCCACGGCGAAAGTTTAGTGGCGGCGAAAAGTGTTTTTTGGAGACCGGCGAAAGTTTTTCACCGGCGAAAATTTGTAGATTTACAGTATAATATAGAAAATGTGTGGGATTTATGCTGATAATTCGAAGTTAGTACAATGTAATTCGAAGTTCAATGTACAGTGAGTGCGTTCGATTATGCCCGCAGATCGATTCGCGCTATTCACATCACCCCATGTGAATAGGGTGAATGGATTCCGAATCGATTCCAGGGCTCATGACGTGAAAATCGAACGACTTGAATGCATGCGAATGGATTTATGAATCGATTCAAGTGCATAATCGAATGCACTCACTGTGTTGGTCAGTTCAGTTTGCATGAGCAGGCTGTGCCGGTCAGTTCGGTATCCGTGAAATCTGTGTCTAAGGTCCATAGCGCAACTCTGCATGACCATGAGAGCATTTTGTCAGACATACATAATATTATTGTGTTCTGGGGTCATGTTTGGATAATTAGAATGTCCGGATAATTAGAAGTTTTTCCTGGCATTTTGAGATTCGAATTATCAGGATTCCACCTGTATAGCAATAAATAGAACTAACTCTGCCGCCATCCCAAATATCATCGAAGTCGAAGGTTTTCCAAAATCGATTTTCTATTTATTGCCATATTAAAATCATGTTATGTAGTTAAACTTCGAATAGAACAGCTCACTTATTGAGGTCTACTGTAAGAGTTGAATCCCTAACGGGGCACAAAGTCTAGCGTTTTAGCAAGAACAAATCCAGCGTTAACCCAGGAAACGTTACACATATGTCACTCCTTCTCTCCGCTGTACAGGAGAAATAGAAGACAGGTGTTGCTGTCAGGGTCGTTAAGCTCATCACACTTTCAACCCGTACAGTATTTGCGCCTTCAAGCATGGCCACTTGTCACCTGCTCTGTTCAAACATGGTGACAGGACAGGTGCACAAGTCACTTCTCTGATATGGCTGCATGGTGACTGGTTTTACATTGTCCGTTTTGCTGCTGCTTCTGCTGCTTGTGGTCGTAGTGGTGGTGATGGTGCTGCTGCTGCTGCTGCTGCTGCTACTGCTGCCGCTACTGCTGCCGCTGCTGCTGCTGCTGCTGCTGCTGTTGCCATTGTGACATGTATTGTTAATGATACTGCTGTTGCTGGTGCAATTGCTGTTGTTATTGTAGATCAAGGCACCATCAACATCTAAAGTCACCACAGCAACAACTTCATCAGTTCCGGAACACCGTCTGAACATGTCATGGTCATGCCAGGTATGTACCTGCTGCTGCTGCTGCTATTCTGTCACTAATCTTCCCGCACTAGTATTGCATGGAAAAGTTAGTTCACTATGAGACATCCCACATCCATTGCGTCATTGGCTGGTGTCTGACACAGCCCTTAGCGTGGCATGCTTTGCCGCTTGTGCTATCCAACACATATGGTAGCACAGCCTTTCCGCGTGCCTACAGCAACTGCTCTATAGTCTTCGCTGGCACATCCCTGACCATGGGTGGTCAGCTATACGCGTAGAGTACAATAATGAACTCGATTCGACAGTACTTGACGGATCCATACTGGTATCTGTCAAAACTTTGGAAGCAACTCAGCTTCATTGATGAGACCTTGCATACTTTGGCGTATGACTCTAGTCTGCTTGCAGATATGCATTGCTTACATTCTAGGTCTCATGTTGGTGTACAGTAAGTAACAGCGGTCCTTTACCATGTTCCTGGGTGCTACGAGGACGTGCTGCTAGTAGCGCGTTTTCTGGCAGGGTGCTGGTCACATCAATGTACATGTGCATGCATAGGCTTCACCCCACCTTTTGGGCAAAATGTCACATTCAAATACAGTGCAGTGGAGTCTCCATTAGCGGACGGACGCCTCTCCACTAAGGGCATCTCCATATTGGGGACCCATTGCTCAGTCCCCACTGTTTCGAATTAGTTGTAATGCACTCTGCAATCAGGACACCTTCTATTGCAGGGCATTATGATTATACATGTTTGGTTCGTGGGGTGTACGTAGTTGACGGGTTACGAAGCATTTGGTTTGTATTTGTATTAAATATATTTAGGGTATACGGCAAAAGACAGATTACTGACCAAAATTTCAACAATTTTTAAAGCGCCGTATACCCCGGAAATACGGTTGATGTCAACTAGTATGAGCTCGTGCCAACCCCAACCGCGATGTCCTGTTCCTTGTCTTTGGTGAATCCTGTACTCATTTGCACAGGATAATGACACGGCCACGGAGCTGCTTGGACGAGTACGAGAATGGTACGTGTCTCAGAGCAGCATGGCGCTGTACAGTTAGCTCACAGGCAGCAGTGTTACGCTACCACAGTGTATCACAGTGTATCACAGTGTATCATGGTGTACCACAGTGTACCACAGTGTATCATGGTGTACCACAGTGTACCACAGTGTACCACAGTGTACCACAGTGTACCACAGTGTATCACAGTGTATCATGGTTTTTAGTCCTCACTCCTAGATCATGGCTAGGCCCCATGGACGGTTCATGTAGTGCAGTTGGTGCACTGGTGTACTGATTAGGAATGTGAAACAGTCACACTGGAGGTTAACATTGTCGCAGCAGCAGCAGCAGGAGCAGTAGCAGTAGCAGCTGTGGGGTATGTGCTGCTAAACTACCCGCCAGCATACACAGGGATTTTCTCACTTCTCACATTTGTCTAGTTTGGCCCCCCGGCTGGTTGCAGCTGATCGCACACCATGGGCTCTAACTTCCACTTGCTTCTGGTCCTGATGCACTGGTTACACTGGTTACACCCCTCCCCGGCTCCCTGCTTCTTGATTTCAGGCTGCTTCCCTCCCAACTTGACCCAAGGCCCATTATTGCACGGAGACCTTGTGCTTTGTATATTATGTGTAAATAGTACTGTACAATTTGTATATAGGGTGTCATTGAATGTGTCAATACTGTTTTCCACTACAATCTATCTATCTTTGTTCTGGTTGTGCTCTGCCCCCCCCCCCCCCACACACACACACGCACACACACAACAAATTGCTACTTTCTATTTTTATCTACAGTACAGTGCAGTATTTTAGATTAGAAGGGTTTGAGGAGAGTGCCTGCTCTGGTCCCTTCCTTGTGTGGGGTGTGGGGACGGAGGAGTTACACAATTTAAATGGGATCAGAGGGTTCAGCAGCAGGGGGTCTGCCCCCCCCCCCATTTTTGTGTTAGCCCCAGTTAGCCTCCCCCTCACCCCGCCGTTTTGAGGGGCAAACAAAATGGGGTGAGGAGTAGGGGTGCATACAACATGAATTGCCACAATGATATAGCAACTTTTACAAAAAATACACTTTCAATTCGTTTGGTGAGATTCTAGATTCTATCATACCGGTAAGTCTATTAAAACTAGAATAATTTGTGAATCTTTAGTGCAAAGAAGCGAAGAAGAATATTATTAGGTAGACTATAATCTAAATTGGAAATTGAAATGTGCAAGTCGCTCGAGATGTAACTTAAACCAGTCAACAAATGGGGTTGGCGTGAAACTTCGGAGATGTGCATTTAAATGAGAAATTACAAGAGCGCAGTTTATTTGGTGTTCGCAAATGTTGGAGTCAATCTTTAGCCATGGTATCGGGTCTGCTCTGCTCTAGCCATGCGTGCATGGGGTTTGCTCGCCGTCGAAGCGGTGTCTATCCTTCATAGGATTAGGCACTTCTTGCCTTTGCTTTTCGTCGATTTCTCCTGCGTCTGCGCATTGATCTGCCTGACAAGAGTATAGTAGATCTGCCGAAGGAGGGCAAGAAAAACAACAACGACAACAGCAACAGTAACGACAACAACAACAACAACTTCTCTTATTGGCCACAGGCCATCGTGAGAATAAAAGATTTCCAAAAAAAACTACAACAACAACAACAGCAGCAGCAGCAACAAGAGAAAGCACATGTAATGTAGCAAGTGGCATTTTCATCAGTAGTATGGAGAAAAACAAGCCTCAAAGTGAATCACACAGAACTCACTGCGGCTGAGGTGCAATGTAATAATTATATTCTCACCTGCGTGACATTGATCTTTGCCTTGGCCGAGGTCTCGATGAATTCACTGTGTATTGCAAAGTAGCAAGAAAATACAGTGCAAACACCATCACCATCACCGGTCTGGGAGAATCAGGATCAATGCAGTCCAGCACAGTTGTATTTCATTCAGGGGAAAGGCCTGCTGGGCATTATAGGACATTGTTGGCAGGGGTGTCGGAAGGTATTTGACATTGGGGCGGCCATGTGTGGATGAAGGGTCCAGGGGGTCCTCCCCTGGGAAAATTTAGGGAAATTGGGGCCCAAAAATCCCAAGATGAAATTATTGGTGCGGCTTTGGCCGCACCTGCCACACCGGTTCCGACGCCCCTGGTTGGGCATGTTGAGAATTGCTGGACACTGCTGCACACTGCTGCACACTGCTGGACACTGCTGGACATTGTTGGGCATGTTGATCATTGTATCGTAAGACAAGTGTATCCTAGTGCATACATTATACAGTGCGCGCGTGTGTGTGCGCGCGCGTGTGTGTGTGTGTGTGTGTGTGTGTGTGTGTGTGTGTGTGTGTGTGTGTGTGTGTGTGTGTGTGTGTGTGTGTGTGTGTGTGTGATACAGTAGTGAATCTTACCAGTGGAACAGCTCTGCCTGCTGCTGACCCTGTGCAGCACTGATGACCCTCTCGTCCTCTAGGTCACATTTGTTACCCACCAGGATGATGGGGATCTGCAGAAAAGTGAAGAGAATACCACATGTGTAAGCTGCTAGTACAACCGTCTGAACTGTACACTCCCTTGAACACAGCAGTCGAGTACAGTGCAACATAGGAGGAGTGTAATTTCTACAGTAACGTTATGCACTGGCTAACTGCATGATGCTGCATGTAGTGACTTGTCACTCAGTGCCTCAGCGGCTGCTGCTGTGTTCTTTGTCTTAGGTACAGAGGTAAGGAGAGTGCCACCGCAGCTGCCTCATGACACGCAATCACAGAGCTTCCAGTCACTTGCCACCTGGTCCATGCTGCTCAAACCCAAACGGGCGAACGACAAATTCAAGCAAAGATGCTAGGTGGATGTCAGACAACGCACTGCCGTTTCTGAGGAGACGGCGATACGGCCCGGCAACAGTGCTGCTTGTACACACGCGAGAGGGAGAAGCCATTGCCACTATATGTACCATTGCCAGTGCCATCTGCTAGTGCCACTGTCACTGCCATTGCTGCTGCCATTGCCATTGATAATACCACTGTCATACTGGTATTAGTGCTGCACTGTCAGCAGTTGATCAGAAACACATGTGCTACCAGTATGAAAGCTGGCGTAATCTTGATCGATTGTCAATTTTACGCTTTTGAGATAACCACACTGACCTATAGCAATTCTCAACTAATAGTGATGCCATCATGATGTCATCAGGCACGTGTAGAATACTCGTGTAAACCTGACGTTGTACTTACATCGGTTGCGTCCTTCACACGTAGGATCTGCTCCCTCATGTTGCCCAGCTCACTAAAGGATTGCTTTGAAAACAGCAAACACAACAGTGATCATAAAATTTACCCTAGTGATCTCAATGATTGCTTTGAAAACAGCAAACGCAACACTGATCATAAAATTTTAACCTAGTGAACTCACCCACGAAACTAAATCTTTTTACATTATGATTAATGGTTTGGGTTTCGCTGGTAGATTCGTTGTTCTTGATGCATGATACTCATATTTTTTGTACATCAACATGACAATCATAACATTAAAATCATAATGAAACTGAACGTTTTTATTCCACGTTTTGGGTTTATTCTGCTGCGTTCTTGAACTTCTTTAGGCACATAAATAGACACTTTATGTATGGACGGTCCTGGACACTGTCCTAGAGATCCCATGGCAATTTTTTGGAATCAGTGGAGAACATCCGGGGTTAGATTTTGTACTGAAACAGATCTGGGTCCCTTGAGGGCAGCGTCGCAGACAGCCCACGTGCAAAGGGTCTATACACAGGACACGCATTCCGGCAGACACGTGATGGTCATTCCGAACTGCCCGTGCTCTACTAGTCCTGGATTGACTTGCATTGGTGATGGGACTGAGAACATTTACTACTAGTACTGGGACGACTGGTGCTCTGCACTTCCACATTCACATGTCATTAAGTCAGCTGCTGCCTGAGCTTGCTGGGCTGCCTGAGGCTGGCTATTGCCATCTCTGAGCACTTATTGTGCGCAGCGAGTTAATGTTCTCATTGCTCTGCCGGAACGTTTTCACGAGACAGGACTTGCCTACCTAATTTTACACAGGTGCCATCTTGCACACAAAATCCCCCCCCCCCCCCCACACACACACACACATTGTGTGTGGGGGTGGGGTATTTGTGTGTGCATTGTAAAAGCCTGTGGCGAAGGCATCACAGTTGTGGCTGTACAAATACATGGGAAAGTGATGGTATCTGGGTGGCAGCTTTCTCCTGACGGATGTTTACTAGGGTCAGCACGGCACACACGTGATTCTACACACGGTGTTGCAATGGTGTCATTCACATGGTGTTGCAACATCATATGTTCTTAGTAACTTCTTACCTGGGACTGGATGGAGTAGATGAGTGCAAAGCCCTGGCCATTCTTCATATACAGATCACGCATGGCGGTGAATTGCTCCTGTACACGTTCCAGCACAAACAGGTACTACAGTGTAGACGATTGCGCAACAGCAGCAGGTCATGGTCAGCAGCAGGTCATGGTCAGCAGCAGGTCATGGTCAGCAGCGCATGCATGTACATGCAACACATGTCCGGGCATGCAAGCTATCATGTGCTAGGTATGGCAGTTCATGCTAATGCTTAAAAAAACACTCGCTTGCTTTTTTTGTTATGAAGGTGTGTGTAGAGTGCTGGCTATCTTTAATAGTATCACTGCATGCGCAGTGCATTGGTATAGTGATATGCAAGTTGTGCCGTGGTGTCTTGGTGCAGTGCTCTCTGTCGCTTGCAATGCTGTGTGCTGAGTGTGCAATGATGCTTTGCTCCTTCAAATAATACAAGGTAATGAAATGTTGGGTTCTACTTCGTATATCTATCCGAAACACCCACATGAAATAGCTATAGATGCACTTCAAATTCAAGGACAAAATGTGCTGCAGTGAGTTGATGCTAAAAAAAATTATGACACAAAAACACTGTTGCCATGACCGAGGTGGTGCTGAAAATTGCAACACCCTAGCATCCAACATCCCTGTTCAGTATTGCCCTGGCGTCCTCACCAGTAACGGCCTATACAGATGGTGATCTAATGTGAAACTGATCAGAATACGGTGGCATACGTTCCAATCAAAACAGTTCTCGACATTGACTGTACGTGAGCAACACTGCACACCTACCAACCCATACATAATGCAGTCTGACACTTACTACCTACTGTATAAAGTCTACAAATTTTCAACACGTTCTAGATTTCGGCCTCACAGGGCTAAAGCCTAAAACACATTTCGGCCGCATTCATATTTCAGCCTGCACTGCTGCTGCCTGTATACACGGTCACATTTAACTTTGCAAAACAAAATTTTGGCCGCAACAAATTCTAGGGCAAAAAGTTCCAGGCCGAAAATAGCCGAAAATAAATATGCGCAGAATCTTTGTTGACTTACAGTACGGTACTGTAGTAGGTATTGTACAGTGTGATTGTATAGTATACAGCAGGGAGTAGGTATTGTACAGTGTGATTGGATAGTTTACAGCAGGGAGTAGGTATTGTACAGTGTGATTGGATAGTATACAGCAGGGAGTAGGTATTGTACAGTGTGATTGTATAGTTTACAGCAGGGAGTAGGTATTGTACAGTGTGATTGGATAGTTTACAGCAGGGAGTAGGTATTGTACAGTGTGATTGGATAGTTTACAGCAGGGAGTAGGTATTGTACAGTGTGATTGTATAGTATACAGCAGGGAGTAGGTATTGTACAGTGTGATTGGATAGTTTACAGCAGGGAGTAGGTATTGTACAGTGTGATTGGATAGTTTACAGCAGGGAGTAGGTATTGTACAGTGTGATTGGATAGTTTACAGCAGGGAGTAGGTATTGTACAGTGTGATTGGATAGTTTACAGCAGGGAGTAGGTATTGTACAGTGTGATTGGATAGTTTACAGCAGGGAGTAGGTATTGTACAGTGTGATTGGATAGTTTACAGCAGGGAGTAGGTATTGTACAGTGTGATTGGATAGTTTACAGCAGGGAGTAGGTATTGTACAGTGTGATTGTATAGTTTACAGCAGGGAGTAGGTATTGTACAGTGTGATTGGATAGTATACAGCAGGGAGTAGGTATTGTACAGTGTGATTGGATAGTTTACAGCAGGGAGTAGGTATTGTACAGTGTGATTGTATAGTATACAGCAGGGAGTAGGTATTGTACAGTGTGATTGTATAGTATACAGCAGGGAGTAGGTATTGTACAGTGTGATTGTATAGTTTACAGCAGGGAGTAGGTATTGTACAGTGTGATTGGATAGTTTACAGCAGGGAGTAGGTATTGTACAGTGTGATTGGATAGTTTACAGCAGGGAGTAGGTATTGTACAGTGTGATTGGATAGTTTACAGCAGGGAGTAGGTATTGTACAGTGTGATTGGATAGTTTACAGCAGGGAGTAGGTATTGTACAGTGTGATTGGATAGTTTACAGCAGGGAGTAGGTATTGTACAGTGTGATTGGATAGTATACAGCAGGGAGTAGGTATTGTACAGTGTGATTGGATAGTTTACAGCAGGGAGTAGGTATTGTACAGTGTGATTGGATAGTTTACAGCAGGGAGTAGGTATTGTACAGTGTGATTGGATAGTTTACAGCAGGGAGTAGGTATTGTACAGTGTGATTGGATAGTATACAGCAGGGAGTAGGTATTGTACAGTGTGATTGGATAGTTTACAGCAGGGAGTAGGTATTGTACAGTGTGATTGGATAGTTTACAGCAGGGAGTAGGTATTGTACAGTGTGATTGGATAGTTTACAGCAGGGAGTAGGTATTGTACAGTGTGATTGGATAGTTTACAGCAGGGAGTAGGTATTGTACAGTGTGATTGGATAGTTTACAGCAGGGAGTAGGTATTGTACAGTGTGATTGGATAGTTTACAGCAGGGAGTAGGTATTGTACAGTGTGATTGGATAGTTTACAGCAGGGAGTAGGTATTGTACAGTGTGATTGGATAGTTTACAGCAGGGAGTAGGTATTGTACAGTGTGATTGGATAGTATACAGCAGGGAGTAGGTATTGTACAGTGTGATTGTATAGTTTACAGCAGGGAGTAGGTATTGTACAGTGTGATTGGATAGTTTACAGCAGGGAGTAGGTATTGTACAGTGTGATTGGATAGTTTACAGCAGGGAGTAGGTATTGTACAGTGTGATTGGATAGTTTACAGCAGGGAGTAGGTATTGTACAGTGTGATTGGATAGTTTACAGCAGGGAGTAGGTATTGTACAGTGTGATTGGATAGTTTACAGCAGGGAGTAGGTATTGTACAGTGTGATTGGATAGTATACAGCAGGGAGTAGGTATTGTACAGTGTGATTGGATAGTATACAGCAGAGAATCCGAGAAGTGGAACACTCCAGCTTTGTTCCCGCCGTGTTCTCCACTACGGGAGGCATGGGGAAATCTGCCACCTCTCTGTACAAGAGGATAGCGTCCCTCATCGCCGACAAGACCGGAGAGGCCTACAGTGCCGTGATGGCTTCGATCCGGTGTCAAATCAGCTTTGCCTTGGTCCGATCCAGTGTGATGTGCCTGAGGGGTGCTAGGCGGCTCTATGCACCGGTCTTTGCCGCGGACTCAGCTGCTCTTGTTGTTGCCGAGGCGGCTATCCCCTGTTGAGGTTGATGGCCGTGCTCATTTATACCATGTTCTCATAATTTCTGCTTTTCGTGTCATTCTTGCTTCTTGTGTTTGTTTGTTCTCCTCTAGTTCTCTTATGTTCGCGGAGAAGGCGGAGAGCCGGAACACAGAACCTCTTATTTTTAATTTTTTTTAATTATTTACTTTTTTACCAGGCGTGGGCCATCCCCTGATCATAGGTGCCAAACATTTTTAGTATAATTACTCAAACAACGAAAAAAAAAAAAAAAAAAAATACAGCAGGGAGTAGGTATTGTACAGTGTGATTGGATAGTTTACAGCAGGGAGTAGGTATTGTACAGTGTGATTGGATAGTTTACAGCAGGGAGTAGGTATTGTACAGTGTGATTGGATAGTTTACAGCAGGGAGTAGGTATTGTACAGTGTGATTGGATAGTATACAGCAGGGAGTAGGTATTGTACAGTGTGATTGGATAGTTTACAGCAGGGAGTAGGTATTGTACAGTGTGATTGGATAGTTTACAGCAGGGAGTAGGTATTGTACAGTGTGATTGGATAGTATACAGCAGGGAGTAGGTATTGTACAGTGTGATTGGATAGTTTACAGCAGGGAGTAGGTATTGTACAGTGTGATTGGATAGTATACAGCAGGGAGTAGGTATTGTACAGTGTGATTGGATAGTATACAGCAGGGAGTAGGTATTGTACAGTGTGATTGGATAGTTTACAGCAGGGAGTAGGTATTGTACAGTGTGATTGGATAGTTTACAGCAGGGAGTAGGTATTGTACAGTGTGATTGGATAGTTTACAGCAGGGAGTAGGTATTGTACAGTGTGATTGGATAGTTTACAGCAGGGAGTAGGTATTGTACAGTGTGATTGGATAGTTTACAGCAGGGAGTAGGTATTGTACAGTGTGATTGGATAGTATACAGCAGGGAGTAGGTATTGTACAGTGTGATTGGATAGTATACAGCAGGGAGTAGGTATTGTACAGTGTGATTGGATAGTTTACAGCAGGGAGTAGGTATTGTACAGTGTGATTGGATAGTTTACAGCAGGGAGTAGGTATTGTACAGTGTGATTGGATAGTTTACAGCAGGGAGTAGGTATTGTACAGTGTGATTGGATAGTTTACAGCAGGGAGTAGGTATTGTACAGTGTGATTGGATAGTTTACAGCAGGGAGTAGGTATTGTACAGTGTGATTGGATAGTTTACAGCAGGGAGTAGGTATTGTACAGTGTGATTGGATAGTATACAGCAGGGAGTAGGTATTGTACAGTGTGATTGGATAGTATACAGCAGGGAGTAGGTATTGTACAGTGTGATTGGATAGTTTACAGCAGGGAGTAGGTATTGTACAGTGTGATTGGGTAGTTTACAGCAGGGAGTAGGTATTGTACAGTGTGATTGGATAGTTTACAGCAGGGAGTAGGTATTGTACAGTGTGATTGGATAGTATACAGCAGGGAGTAGGTATTGTACAGTGTGATTGGATAGTTTACAGCAGGGAGTAGGTATTGTACAGTGTGATTGGATAGTTTACAGCAGGGAGTAGGTATTGTACAGTGTGATTGGATAGTTTACAGCAGGGAGTAGGTATTGTACAGTGTGATTGGATAGTATACAGCAGGGAGTAGGTATTGTACAGTGTGATTGGATAGTTTACAGCAGGGAGTAGGTATTGTACAGTGTGATTGGATAGTTTACAGCAGGGAGTAGGTATTGTACAGTGTGATTGGATAGTTTACAGCAGGGAGTAGGTATTGTACAGTGTGATTGGATAGTTTACAGCAGGGAGTAGGTATTGTACAGTGTGATTGGATAGTTTACAGCAGGGAGTAGGTATTGTACAGTGTGATTGGATAGTATACAGCAGGGAGTAGGTATTGTACAGTGTGATTGGATAGTTTACAGCAGGGAGTAGGTATTGTACAGTGTGATTGGATAGTTTACAGCAGGGAGTAGGTATTGTACAGTGTGATTGGATAGTTTACAGCAGGGAGTAGGTATTGTACAGTGTGATTGGATAGTTTACAGCAGGGAGTAGGTATTGTACAGTGTGATTGGATAGTTTACAGCAGGGAGTAGGTATTGTACAGTGTGATTGGATAGTTTACAGCAGGGAGTAGGTATTGTACAGTGTGATTGGATAGTTTACAGCAGGGAGTAGGTATTGTACAGTGTGATTGGATAGTATACAGCAGGGAGTAGGTATTGTACAGTGTGATTGGATAGTTTACAGCAGGGAGTAGGTATTGTACAGTGTGATTGGATAGTTTACAGCAGGGAGTAGGTATTGTACAGTGTGATTGGATAGTTTACAGCAGGGAGTAGGTATTGTACAGTGTGATTGGATAGTTTACAGCAGGGAGTAGGTATTGTACAGTGTGATTGGATAGTTTACAGCAGGGAGTAGGTATTGTACAGTGTGATTGGATAGTTTACAGCAGGGAGTAGGTATTGTACAGTGTGATTGGATAGTTTACAGCAGGGAGTAGGTATTGTACTACTCCCTGCTGTACAGTTTGCAGACAAGCCAGTGCACTCACCGTTCCGGCCGTGTCCAGTATCTCCAACATACATTGCTGCCCATCCACATCTACTGACTACAACCGACACCATGTACAGTGACACCATGTACAGTGACACCATGTACAGTGACACCATGTACAGTGACACCATGTACAGTGACACCATGTACAGTGACAGAATGCACACAGAGAGACACGCGCGTGCATGGCACATGGCACACACACGTACGCGCACGCACACATACACAAAGTTATATACGCATGCCCAAAACCTATGCATGCACATGTGTACACACACACACACACTCACACAAACACGCACGCACACACACACACACACACACACACACACACACACACACACACACACACGCAAGCACAGACAACTGGCAACTCACAAACAGTTCTCAGCATGGAGACGCGTTAGTTTTCAACCATTGCTTTCAACGACATCACGTACATATGCACACGAGAGGACAAGCTGAACAGCGCTAAACGAGAGCCGGTAGTAGTATGACAGAGTACAAACACTACAAGCCTACAATGTAAAAATAATGTGCAAATGGAAAAGGAAGTAAAGAAGCTATGCAGCATAATAGTTATTTTTGGGTTTAAACACACACCTACCTTGTCAAAAACAGGTGCGAAGTAGGGGTTATCATGATAGTGAGTCTGTAAGAGCAGTCACCCAAAGAAAGAGAGTGATATACTAGAGCAGAAGTGTGAAACGAGAAAAGGACACAGCACCAAAAAATAAGTTCCTCGTCCCATAGCATCAGGAAAAGCAGGCAGACTCTTTGTATGCGAGCTAGGACTGTCAGCACACTAACCAACTTGGCAAGGAAGTGCCTTGGAGCAGAAACATGAAAGGGGACGGCGCAGCAGCTCCTCAGTTTCTGATCTGGTAACACGCAACAACATTAGTCGGCAGATCTCAGTGGTCGTGACTCTAACTGTCCGAGCACAATTTCCATGACCACACTGACTGAGTACAGCTTCTGCAGAACGTACGCAGTTCGGAACAGAGATGTGAAGGGCAACAAAGCCACAACGCCAATACCAAACCAACCTTGCTACAGCCATCATCTGGAAGACAATAGCCTACAGAGAAGAACCTCTGGTTTCCATCAGCACAGTACGATCCGGACAATACTGCACCCCGCCAGTCCCCGGTCCCTTTGGTGACGGTGATAGAAGACTGGTCCGACTCTTGAAAGTTTGGTTCCTTTGGACGACATCCTCTTTCATGGACTCTTACATGCGGCTATGGGTCAACCTTCGTTCTGCATGTGTGATACAATGGCGTGCGACTCCCGAGCACCATGGTATGGCTAACCCTGACTTGACCCTTGTATCCCGAGAGTAGAGGCAGTAGCCATGACACATCTCAAGACCGCCTGTGACACTACAAGGTATTGTTGCGGGTGACGACGTCAAGTCAATCCTCCGCTGACGGGTACGGGTGTTGTGCATGCCGTCCACATGGTAGGTCAGCCTCTCAAGATGGCACGCGCCATTACCAGCTGCCCTGAGGATATGTGCGGTATGACTCACAAGGCATCCAGGCATTGCCATTACTCAGCTGGTACCAGTCTGGCAGCAGCTGCAGCACTGAGCGGCGGCGATGGCAGTGGTAAGAGTTGTGCAGGAACATTACAAACACGATGCTAACAGCGAGGTAATTTCTCAGTTATGAAAGATGCCGTTCTGGTGGGCCATCACAGCCAACAGCCCCGGCTTCCAGACCTTTCTGATGAGTATGACTTGCCAATGCTCCACATACAGCTGACCCTTACGGGGTGCACCTGAGTCTTGTGCAGACGTGCATGTTGGCAAAAAAATTATATTGAGCATCAGCTCTGTTGCCCATGGAATAGATTCCCTATTCTAAGGCACGGTGGCGGAGATCTTCTGGCCGAGGAGCAAACAACCTGCTCCGCTCAAGTATGTGTTGATGGAACTGGTTTGTAAACTGTCCATCCGCTACAGAACGCATGATGAAAAGGTTGTTTTAGAGGGTAACCTCCATCAGATACGAACATTTCTGGGTCCGTAGAATTTAGGTTAGAAAGTCAATGGTCTTGTTCCAAGGAAGCTGCAATGCGTCGTTAGTCCGATACATGTACAGTCAACTTCGCTAATAACGACTGCGGATATAACAACAATTCGCGAATAACGACAGAATTTCCATGCCCGGAGCAAAGTCCCATCTAACTGTACACATTTTACTTCGGATATAACGACTATCTGAATAACGACAATTCGCGTTTAGCGACATGCTTTTAGTGCCCCGAGGTCATATTCACTGCTTGAATAACGACTTTCTGGGCTTTTGACAGCTATTTCAAGTACCTGTCAGTCAAGTACATGTGCATGTACCTGTCATGCAGAAGTACCAGAACCTATGGTGATGGATATAAAGGCACACATGCAAGAAAATGCAGCCAAGGGGGGGGGGGGGGCTTTTTCTTCCTTTTTATGTTGGCTTCAAAATTGTTGGATTTACCAGCACACCTATATGTAATGCTACCTCACCTGTTCCGTGTTGTATACAATGTACATGTAGTTGTACATGATTGTACAGTAATCATCACAAAATAAGAAAAATAATGATAATAATTGTAGAAAGGAAAAGGACATATGGAAACGAGTTAAGAGTAACTCTCCACCACTGTAACTAGATACTATATACATTCAGAAAGTGCAACAACTAGGCACAAAACTGACAGAGTACTGAGACATTCGACGTCCTGACACCTAGCTTCAACACATCTCCGTAGCGCTAACCGACAGCCTTCCAACTTCCCCCTTCTTAACTTATCTTTGATATTTTGACCCACCCAAGTTGGGTGGTGTGCTGCTTTGCTGCTTCGAATTGTAGTTAGACCGCTTTGTCAAATCGCCTACTGGTCTCGTCATCGTCCAGTGACAATCGACATTCTTTGTTCCGTTGGGACTGTAGCTTGTGCTCGTTTTCGTTGCGCTTGCCTTCCCCTCTTTGGTCTTTCCATAACCTTGAACCTTCCAAGTTGGAAGGCTGTCGGTTAGCGCTACGGAGATGTGTTGAAGCTAGGTGTCAGGACGTCGAATGTCTCAGTACTCTGTCAGTTTTGTGCCTAGTTGTTGCACTTTCTGACTGTATATAGTATCTAGTTACAGTGGTGGAGAGTTACTCTTAACTCGTTTCCATATATCCTTTTCCTTTCTACATTTATTATTGGCTCAATACCTGAGTTTCAAATAATAATAATAATAGTGAAGTGTGTGGGTTACAGTGAGGGCTGCGTCCCACCCGCCTGTGTGGATTCACAGGAAGTGTGAGTTACGAAGTCTGAAGAAAACGTTGAACGGTCTCTGCTGGGATGACGACTATAGCTCAGTGGTTAGAGCATCGCTGGCTACAAGCGAGGGTCCCTGGTTCGAGTCCTGGTGGTGACAGTCAATTTTTTCTTCAGACTTTTCCCGTTTGTCTCTTTCCCTCAAACCAGTTAGTATTTTATGACTTGGGGCTCCCCGCGTGCTAGTTTGTACGTGAAGTGTGTGGGTTACAGTGAGGGCTGCGTCCCACCCGCCTGTGTGGATTCACAGGAAGTGTGAGTTACGAAGTCTGAAGAAAACGTTGAACGGTCTCTGCTGGGATGACGACTACACCATAGCTCAGTGGTTAGAGCATCGCTGGCTACAAGCGAGGGTCCCTGGTTCGAGTCCTGGTGGTGACAGTCAATTTTTTCTTCAGACTTTTCCCGTTTGTCTCTTTCCCTCAAACCAGTTAGTATTTTATGACTTGGGGCTCCCCGCGTGCTAGTTTGTACGTGAAGTGTGTGGGTTACAGTGAGGGCTGCGTCCCACCCGCCTGTGTGGATTCACAGGAAGTGTGAGTTACGAAGTCTGAAGAAAACGTTGAACGGTCTCTGCTGGGATGACGACTACACCATAGCTCAGTGGTTAGAGCATCGCTGGCTACAAGCGAGGGTCCCTGGTTCGAGTCCTGGTGGTGACAGTCAATTTTTTCTTCAGACTTTTCCCGTTTGTCTCTTTCCCTCAAACCAGTTAGAATAATAATAATAATAATAATAATAATAATAATAATAATAATAATAATAATAATAATAATAACAACTGTGCCTTAGCAGCGGGGTCAGCGAGCCAATATCCATCCGACGGGGTATCTTCCAGGGTGATTCTCTGTCTCCCCTGCTGTTCTGCATCGGTCTCAACCCAATCTCAAACGAATTAGCAAAAAGCGGCATAGGATATCGTTGTGGACCCACGCGTGATTCCCTGTTGTCGCATCTATGGTACATGGATGACGTCAAGCTATTTGCCGCTAGCAGTACTGGACTGGACTCCTTGATCAACATTGTGGAGTGCGTTGGTGGGGCGGTTGGCATGCAACTATCCCCCACTAAGTGCTCGAAGATTGTCTGCCCGGCCGCTAAGCCAACCCAGGATGCAGAGCCTTCGTCAACCTTGCTAACAGAGTCGATCATTCATCCTCTGCAAGATGGCGCGGCGTACCTCTACCTTGGCCTGCGGGAATTCCTGGGAATCGAGGCTGGTGAAGTTAAACAATCTGCCATCGCTGAGTTCCGTCGCCGTCTTCGCTTGATCACGGATGCTTCACTATGTGCACCAAACATCAGAGCAATCAACACCTACGTTCTGCCAGTGGTGTCCTATGGCCTTGGCACAGTCGTTCCTTGGACTGCGGATGAGCTCCGCTCGCTGGACAGGACAGTGAGGAAGGCTCTGACTGCTAGCAGGGCCCACCACCCACGTGCCTCAATCCGTCGCCTATATCTACCGCGGAGTGAGGGAGGTCGTGGCCTAGTATGCATCGTAGATCTCCATGACCGTACTTGCATCCGGCTCGCTCAGTACCTGAAGGATCGGGAAGATGTCCCTGCCCTGGCCGCTGTTCTCCAGCACCATGAATCACGTCCCTCTAGAAAATCAATACCAAAGCTGGCAAATACTGTCCTGCAGCGCCTTCGCCTGACGAGCCTGGACACCGCTAACAAAGAGACTGTTAAACAGGCCCTCAATGACAACCGCCGCCGTGAACTTCGAGCGATGCCTCTTCATGGTCGCTATTGGGCGCGTGTTGATGGCATCCTGGACATGCAGCTCTCGTTTTCCTGTTTCAGATCCCAGACAATGCGTCCTGAAACGGAAGGCTTTCTCATTGCTTGCCAGGATCAGGTGATTGCCACGAGAAACAATATGCGCCATATCCACAAGAGGCATGATGTCGTGGACCTCTGTCGTGTATGTGGTGCACCCGGAGAAAATATGGACCACATCATCGCCTGCTGTCCAGCCCTGGCACGGACTGCATACATTGCCCGGCATAACTTTGTGGTCCAGGCCCTGCATCGTGCGCTGTGTAAGCAGCATGGATTACCCAGCAGTAAGCAGCTGGTGCAGGTCACAAGTTCTGCCAGTTGCAAGCTGATGTGGGAGATTTCCATTCCCACAGATCGATTAATAAAAGCGAACAGACCAGACCTGGTGCTGGTTCTGGATGATCGGGCACTGCTCTTGGACGTCAGTGTCCCATTGGACCACAGGGTCAATGAGAAGGTGCAGGAGAAGATCAGCAAATACCTGCCCTTGGCAGCAAAGCTGAGGAGGATCTGGAACAAAAAGATAACTATTGTTCCAGTTATCATTGGTGCTCTGGGTGGTGTGTCAGGAACGAGCCGCAGCCACATCTTAAGCCTTGGGCTCCACGCGTCCGTGATCCAGCGGCTGCAGCAATGTGCTATTCTGGGCACCCTGAGAATTGTGCGGTCGGTGACTGGTCATGGATGGGAGAGTGGCATGGTCGGAACGGTCGGTTGACCTTATGTTAGCCTGCCCGTAATGTCTCGACGTGTCTCAGTCTGTGTGTTTTATGATTGTGGTGCATCATGTGCTGTGTGACGAGCCGAGAGGCGTGAATTTCTGCCATATGCCCCCAGTCATGTATTGTCTTTCTCTGCATATGCCGTTTTATCTCGTCTGAGTTTGTCTTGCTTGGAGTGTCCCATGTGCAGCATGCTTGGTGTTTACTACTTGAGTAGTTCTGTTATACATGACTGTGATTTTATGTGAGTATCGAAGTTGGTATACTTGAATTTTTCTCTCATGAAGTTTATCAAAATTTGGTTCAGGATTTTCTTTTATCTTCATTGATTGGTGCTTCACCCTTGGGTCATATGGATCCCGGTGCTGTGCTTCATGCCTCCTTTCAAGCTTTCTTTTTCTGCTTTGGGAGTGAATAAAGTCGTCATAATAATAATAACATCTTGTGGCATCCGTCAGCTGGTTGCTGCTAGTGAGTTTGACCTGTCCATAGAGTTCTTGAATCATGTTGCGTATGCTGCTGCTGTTCTCACCCTACTGGTTTGTGGTATCCCGCCGGTTCCGGCAGCGCGCATGAGTTCGCCGCAGCCGGAGGTTCCGGGTTGGCAACGCCGGTTACAGCGAAAGGTTGACGCCCTTCGGAAGGATGTCTCTAGACTGACAAGCTACCTGGCATCTGACAACCCGCTAATGTACGAGCGCTATCCTGTGGGAACTCGGCACGCTGCTGCTTCACTTCTAGGAACAAAGAAATTGGAACTTCTGGCCCTTGCGGGTCGAATGCGCAGATACAAAGCTGATATGAAACGAAAGCAGGAGAATCAGTTATTTCGCTACAATGAACGTCAATTCTATCGTAACCTGTGTGCCAAGAAGGATAGTGACCCCGAGAACCGTCCATGTATGGATCAATTGGAGCAGTTCTGGAGAGACATTTGGTCTCACCCTTACCCTGTGCGTCGTCAGGCCTGGATCCAGCGTGAAGGCACGTACGCAGAGGCCATCCAGGCCCAGGAATCTGCTGTCATTACTGCTGACCTTATGTCTGCTGCGACCTCCAAGATGCCACACTGGCGTGCTCCTGGTTGTGACCAGATCCCGCCATTCTGGATTAAAAAATTTACTGCTCTCCATCCAGCTCTACTTCGAAATTTCCAGCTGCTTCTGGATGGTGAGCTGGATGCCCCAGCATGGTTTTCACTGGGCCAGACGGTCATGATCCCAAAGAAAGGAGACCTAACCCAGCCGCAGAATTGGCGACCAATCACCTGTCTGCCAGCCATGTACAAGCTATTCACCTCCGTGATTGGTGAGTTGATGTGGATCCATATCCAGACCAATGACATTCTGGCCCATGAACAAACTGGCTGTACTCGTAACCGAGGAGGCTGCACTGACCAGCTGCTGATCAATGCTATGATTACCCAGGATGCTAGGCGTCATCACCGCACCTTGGCAATGGCTTGGTTGGATTTTAGGAAAGCGTTCGACAGCCTATCGCAGGAGTGGCTAGTCGAAGTCACACGTCTGTACAAATTCCACCCCAAGATCACTTCGCTCTTGTCTGTGCTCTCATCGCAGTGGCGTACCCGGCTGCGCTTGGGAGCTGACATGAGTGAGGCAATACCGATCCGGCGAGGCATTTTCCAAGGTGACTCGTTATCCCCTCTGCTCTTCTGTCTTGGATTGAATCCAATATCAGGTGAACTCAGCAGAAGTGGCACTTCAGCGGACAACAACCGTATCCCACTTATGGTACATGGATGATGTGAAGCTGATGGCCGCAACCAGTAAGCAGCTTAACTCAATGATCAACATAGTATCGTGCGTTGGGAAATCCATTGGAATGGAGCTTTCTCCAGCAAAGTGTGCTAAGCTTGTGTGCCCACATGGTGCTGTTGATCCAGATCAGCCAGCAACTGTCACAGTAGATCAAGCCTCCAGCATTGCCTCCTTGGCGGACGGCTCCGTGTATGCCTACCTTGGCATAAGGGAGTGTTTTGGCATGGCGGAACAGTCTGTTAAGGTGGCCACCACCAAAGAGTTCAGGAGGCGATTGCGGCTGGTGACCCACACATCTCTCAACGCCTGCAACCTCTCTCGTGCTATTAACTCTTATGTCATCCCAGTGCTGTCGTATGGCTTGTGTATTGTGCCATGGACGAAGGATGCTATTGCAACCTTCGACAGGAATGTCCGAAGTGCGCTCCGCGCAGTGGGAGCACACCACCCACGATCTTCCACCATCCGCTTTCACCTGCCGAGATCTGAGGGCGGCCGAGGGATTGTATCGGTTGAGCACCTGCTGGAGAGGAAATACATCCGCCTGTCTAGGTATCTCCAGGCGCACTCTGACCTGCCGCTGATTGCTGCGCTGCATGCTCATCATGAAAATCTTCCGCCTACAAAGTCGATCATCTCCCGGGCGGCCACGGCAATGGAGCACTTCAACATCCTGGACATCGGAGGTGCAACAACTGACGTTGTTAAGTCTGCTATCAGAACCTCCACCCAAGCTTCTCTGCGGCAGAAGCCCCTGCATGGTCGCTATTGGCAGAGGAGTGGCGGTGTATTGGACATGCCTCTCTCATTCAACTTCTTAAAGTCTCCAACATTGCGTCCATCCACTGAGTCATCCGTATTTGCTGCTCAGGATCAGGTGGTTAATACCAGGAACTACCAAAGATCGGTTATTGGCGTCACTTCCGTGGTGGACGTGTGCCGTTTGTGTGGAGGTCCGGGGGAGACTGTTGACCATATTTTGGCATGCTGCCCCGTGTTGGCACGGACGGCATACATTACTCGCCATAATCGTCTTGCCGCTATAGTCCACCGGGCACTCTGTCATCGCTACAGACTGGTATCTCCTGCTCCCCCTGGCCACTTGCCACACTACGTCGAGGATAGTGAAGGCCGTAAGTTAATGTGGGAAATGCCAATCCCTACAGATAGGATGGTTGGAGCAAATCGGCCGGATCTTGTGTGGGACGATGGCAAGTCAGTCCAACTTATTGATGTCAGTGTGCCACTGGATCATAGAGTAACACTAAAACATGCTGAAAAGAGAGCGAAGTACTTGCCCCTCGCAGTGGAAATTGGGCAGATTTGGCAGCGAGAGGCAGTGTCCGTAGTGCCCATCATAGTTGGTGCTCTTGGTGGCCTGACGAAGGAAGCGGCTACCTCAATTAAGCAGCTATGTGGAGAAGAGCGGCACCTTCATGAACTGCAGCAGGCTGCTATCCTTGGCTCGATGGCCATTCTAAGATCTGTTTTGGGTGCAGCATAGGGCTCTTCGCTGTCCCTGGTGGGCTTTTTATGCTCTGTATGTTATTGTATTCGTTTTAGTTTGTAATTGAAACACTGTGGTATTTCTGTGGGTATTCGTATTTGATCTTTCTGTGGGTGCGCATTGGAGGTTGTGCCCAGTGATGAGCTTTGCCGGCCTGAATTTTTCGCCAACTTCTGATGCTCCCCTTTCTGCAATACCTGTTGCCATGATACCTCTGAGCTTTAATGTCTGTGATGGTACATGCGCCTTTCTCCCTTCCTCTCTCTCTACCTTACTTTTTTCCATATATTATTCCGTGCTGCTTACCTTTGGCTATGATAAGTCCGGTGAGTTAGCGTAATACCTCCAATTTTTATTTTTATTTTCAATTTGGAGTGGAATAAAGACTCATAATAATAATCATACATGTACATGTACATGTCTCTGGCCCTGTAGATGGCTCAAAAAGGCATACTTTTCTATTGATTTCCCTTGCATATTGAATTTTTAGTTCCTTTCAACTGCAATATGAAAATAAAGTACACATTGACATAGAGCAAGAAAAGAGCTTGATTTTGATATGCATGTCATACTATACAAAATATGGGTTCACATACATTCAAATGGGACTTCGGTTATAAGGACACTTTTCTGATGCCCCGCCGAATGTTGTTATTGGCGAAGTTGACTGTACCGTAAAGTACCGCCAGAGCGCCCCACCATCTCGTCCTTTCGTGGTCGTCTTGTGGAGGTGGTTCCTGCCTGTAGGTCATACGACACGGACCTTGTACACACATTGCAGTCAATCCGTATCCAGTTTACCTTCAAGCGGATGCGAGCTCCACATAAAAACATGCCAAGTGTGACCTTAGTACACGAAGGTTCTCACACCGTACAAACTTAGTAGCATTCTGCCATACGATTGTCTTCCCTTGGCTGTAAAATCAAGGTGGGGCGCTCTCGCGAGACGGGGCGCTCTGGCGGTACTTTACGGTACTTGTATTCCCAATCAAACTCGCATACGCAGTGCACTGCATTCCACAGACTATGAGCCAGAGATCCACATACGCAGTTTAGGCGCAAAATGGCAAATTCACGATGGAGCCCGCTCGACACGTCAGCGGCCAGTGTACGGAAGCCTCTTCGGACCAAAACAATTCGATTTAGTGACGCTGCGTCTTCTCGGAAACTTTCATGTTGTGGACTAACATTAGCCTTGGGAGCATCTTCCCTGCAACGGAGCACACTGATGATGCTCGGACCAGGTCTATTCGATTCGGCAACCTACACTCTATGGACCCTAACCACCTTGGTCAAATCTCAAAGCTGTACTCATAGATTATGCAACAACTTGAATTTTAGCAGCATTGCCAATTTGCTACTGCACATCCTGAACTGGTTACATACTTATAGCTTATCATCCACACCAAGACTAGATGCCGGTATCCCAAGACTTACTTTTCTATAGCTGTCCTCAATCGTTGGGTCATACTTCTCCACAAAGATGCCCTGCACGAACTGCACAGTCTGGAACCGGAACATAAAGCCACAACAATAACTCCGTTTAGACATGAACATAATGATATGGAATCTATCGGCGAAGTGGTGGCCCGCCGATGCAAACGCATTTTCTTGATGTGTTCCTAAAGACGTCAGGTGATGTGGCCGCTAATCCGTCTAACTTTACTTTAACTTAATTAAAATGGTGGGGTGAGGAGGGGGGGGGGGGGGTTGGGTTGGGGGTACTTCCATAGATTTGTGGCATTTTGCCATGTGGCTGCATAGAGCGAACCTTTGTCAGCATACCCAGGGGAGGGGGGGGGGGGGAGGGGTGCTTGAGCGCGTGACCCAACAGAAGACGATAAACAAGTATATAATGTGACCAGAGAGAATTAGAACTTATAACTGAATTGCCGCCATCAGTCCTCTGTCACAAGTAACATAGTTGCATTTCCTGGCGGATGGCTTGGATAATATTGAAATCAAGATGTGAACACATCTAGGTGTCATGTGACACTGTCCGGATATGTGTATTGAATGTAGGCTAGCTACTTCAGTAACTATAATTCACTAGGTTTGATTTGGCAATGGTAACAAAACTAGCTCAAACATCTGCTTGACCTGACAGTTCGTCAGCAACACATTTCCCCCAAGTGAACTACTAGATCCTCTGGCAGCACACATGTCTCAATTCGAATGCAATTCTGCTTTAGCATGTCCTACAATACCACCTCGCAGCAATCAACATACCAATTGTCGGCCTTTAGGCAGTTTAAAGGAGCTACATGTAGATGGCATAAGCGCATGCGTGATGCAGTGCTACTGGCCACCGTGTTTACTAGTGTGTGTGTGTGTGTGTGTGTGTGTGTGTGTGTGTGTGTGTGTGTGTGTGCGTGCGTGTGTGTATGTGTGTGTTTATACACAAAGACTCATCATGTACTTCTCAGGAACAGCACTACATGTACTGGATAATTATTAACGCACAGTGATAATGCCCACTAACTATTCTAAATATTTAATTCACGGTATCTGACCCACTTGCTGCTGCATAAGCCCCCCCCCCCCCCTCAGATTTTTTCACCAAATACAGACATATACCCTGTAAAATACAGACATATACCTACTGCTGTATTTTGTGGTTCATTTGAGCATCGTAGTATAAGCCGCAACGACTTACCGTATTTTCCGGAGTATAGTGCGCACTTTAGATGTACTATTTTAGGCCCTAAATCCCTGATTTAGGTACCATTACCTTTGGGTTATCCGTCATAATAATAATAATAATAATAAAAATCGCAGGTGCGCACTATGCTCCGAATATGAAATGCATGTACTTCAATGAAGATTGAAGTGCGCACCCCCAATGAAGATTGGGGGGGGGGGGGGGGTGCGCGTTATACAAAGGTGCGCACTATACTTCGAAAAATACGGTAATTATTAGTACTGAGCATTTCGTCACAGGGTATTGAAAATTCTCCCCTCAGTTTTGTGAAGACTGCCAGGTGGCCTGGCTGAGCATCTGCGCTTCACTAAACCAGACAAAACGCAGTGCTCTGGGCAAGATCACTACAGTCAGTAAAGAGATCTAAAACCCCAGGAGACGTTTTTCATTGCATTTGTCTCATTGTACCAGACATGGACAGCTACAAGGCCATTCCGCAGAACAATACAATCATGTGCGCGCAGTGAAACGCAAATAATGTCAGGATCAAAATAATTGGTTGCAAGCTGCATTACATCTGAACATATCCGGAGGTAAGCACCCGGCACGTGTGCATTCCACGCTCAGGTTACTAGTTACCGCCACGGTCCATATGATCCACGTGTATTCGAACAATACCCTTTGTTTTAGCATAACAATGATCACGCTGCTGCCGACATAGCCTGTCATAGGCATTTCACATGGTCAAGCGAACCCGAAACTGAGAATTATTTGTCATGAACGTGCCCGAATCGGATTTCCGGACACAATAATTACCGGTATATTTTTTGTCCATACGGCATGTTCGGCTACACCATGCATGGCCACATAATAGTCTTCGCAAACTAACTGTTACTAGTACTTGGAGCTTCATGAAAGGCTACAGAACATGAACAAAGCTTAGACTAACTTACCAAGGCGCTCTTTCCAACTCCTCCTGCACCGAGCATAACCAGCTTGTATTCCCGCATACTGACGACGCGCTGCCGTTGCCTTGGCCGATATGTCCCAATGCCACCGCTTGAGCAGTAGCGGTGTGAGAGGAAACAGGACCAGGTGTTCCTTGAGCGGCAGCTAACTGTTACTTTCGGTCACTTGTGTCTTTCCTGCACTATCACCAAATCACGGTCTAGTGCTGCGGTAGCGTTTGCTACTAACAATGCCGGAACTGGCCGCTGTACACGTTGATAACGTCCGGTGAGTGCCACAGCGCGAGCAGAAAACCGGACGAAGCTGCTGACTTTTCTGTGCCTGGATCAAATGAAACTCAATGCGCGTTTCATCAACCGTGATACACCCACACGCGAGAACAGCACGCACAGCTCAAGCAGACCTGTACTCTCGCTGTAGAGTGTATAGTGTAGCATCAGCGACGCACTGGCCACTGCACTGCCACTGGCCAGCTAGCTTGGCCGCTCCGACAACCTGGACAACACTGACACTGCTGCACGCAGAATGCGAGGAAGGAATGCAAACCTGGAGCACGAGACACAAGCCAAAGAAAGAGACAATAATGTACCGAGTTTGCACTAATCAGTAATCTTATTTTTATTTCGGAAGTTCCGAGTTCCGACTCGTACACAAACAGAACAACCACCAGTACGTACATGTACAGTGTCTCTGTCCTGATTATTATGGTGGGAATGATGGAAACCTGGGACGATTGCGTGGGCAAGCTAAGTTAGTAAAGGCAGAAACCCTGATCTTGCAAATAGCATAGCTTGACTACCCGGCTCGCGCGGTCTGAAACAACATACAATAATGTAGTTCTACACTCAAGCTACACAGACTTTATTCTGAAAAACCTGCCCATTTTAGCAGTCTGTTCCAGTCACCAGGTCTAGGTAACATACCGGTAAGTCATTAGTGCAAGTGAGTCACAAGGCAGTGCAGTGCGTGATACTGATAAGTGATAACAGCCTACACTGCTGGTCGTGCTGGATCCTCATAATTATCATGCCATGGACTGGAGTGGATCATGGAGTGCAAGTGGCAGAGGGCTTATATTATTTTAGCTGGGCATGGGTTTCGCGCACTTCGCACATCCTACCTGTCAAAAGCAAAAATGCTCAGGGCGGGCGATAAAGGGGCGTTGTTGAACGGTTCCCAACGTCCACTGGCTCCAGTGCTTTTCTCTCTTTAGTACTTTAGTATAGCAGGGAGTCGTATCACCCAGGCACACGGCACGGCTGACTGACCAAACTCTATCTGATGCAGTGATGGCTTTCCAGTCAAATCCTTTAGTCTTCCACAACAACTAACTGTTACTTCACTGCCTAGTGCCTACCCACCGTGCCGTAAGAGTACTCTAGGTAATACCAATCTGATCAGTGTTTTGACCGCCATGCATTTTTAACCGCATGCGGTTGCAGCAAGTCACGCGGCGTTGATCTTTCCTTTCAGAAACCTGCTCCCTGCCCTCCCTGCCTTCAGTATGGATGATGCAGAGCTTATTATTCTTTATTTCCACGATGCATCGATGGCCCATGGCCAATACGGAAGATAATACGATTCAAATCAGTCCAGAATCATATAAAACCAGCTAGCAAGTAGGCCTTGACAGATTATGCTAGCATAATTTTTCGCATAATTCCTACCAAAATCGAATAATCGCATAATTCGAGGCAAATTGCATACGAATCGCATAAAATTGGAATAATCCGCCTGTTCGCATCAAATTCCATACAGTTGTACATGTTCTACAAGTACAAGTACAACAAGTAGATGCACCAGAAAGGTGTAGGTTTACGACTCCCTTGATAACATGTCCAGTCCACTACAATCAGTAACGGTCGTAGCTAGGTCGGACGGTGCGTTGAGCCCGTTGAACTTTTGCTACTACAGTACAACGCCCTCTACAAAAAAATTCCCCTGTTATTTTGCACAGAACCATTATACATTAGCAGCATAATGCGGCATAATAATTATGATAACTTTTAGCATAAAAATAGCATAATTCTGCAATTTTTTCAGCAATGCAAAAAGCATAATTTCACGAAAATATTAGCATAATCTGTCAAGGCCTACTAGCAAGTAAGGAAACCAACACATTGCAGCTCAGTTGCTGGGGATGGGGTTACGATGGGGTACAGTGTAAGCTACTACAGGAGCATATGGATGATAGAATGAGCTTCTGGATGGAAGATTACTGTACTCTTCCTGGGACTCTTCATTAGTACATTTTTTGGGAATTTCAATTTTCTTCCCTCTAGTATCCGACAAGACTAAGACTAAGTTTATCTCTGTACAGTCAACTTCGCTAATAACGACTGCGGATATAACGACAATTCGCGAATAACGACAGAATTTCCATGCCCAGAGCAAAGTCCCTTCCCACTGTAACTGTACACTATACTACTAGTACTACATCAGTACATGTGCTGCGTCCACCCCCCCCCCCCCCCCCCGATGAGTACAGTATCTAGGCCTTCTAGGGCCAGTAAGGGGGGGGGGTACTTCTCCAGCCCAGGCACTCATCACAGTCATGGCTTGAGCTGGACATCGCTATATATGCGCTAGTCACCCGTGACTGGCTTCACTTTCTTTCTTCTCCAGCGAATCACATCTCAGTGCAGCGACTCCATTCATGGTACAATACTTGCAACTGCACTGGTCAAAGCTTGCGCCGCACATACTGGTACGCATAGCAGAGAGTGCTGCTGGTGCGATACCTGTTTTTCTTCCTCTTTGTGACGCCCCGACGGCTTAGATAGGGGCTACGGGATAATAATACTTATTTGCGGTGATCTGAGCCGGGGAGCTCCATGTGAATGTAGATTGTCAGCTCCCTGATCTGGCCAGCGGCTGGGCCGGCCGGGGCCACCTGGTTACGGCCCAGATCGCGTACAGAGTAGATCACACGTCACGCGGGACTTCCAAATCTGGATAGGAGTCCCCCTGGGAGGGGGCTATGGACTCTTGTTCCGGGCATAATTTATGGTCTAGAGTTTCTCCCTACCCGTCGCGAGTCACGTCAGTCAAGTGAGAATTCAAGTCAGCAGGAAAAATGCAATCCCCCACATAGGGAGTAACACACAATTCCCCCGCGTTTCTCTCCCTAGATCATACTAGATGCTACAATCTCCTTAGTACAGCAGAGACAATAAAAAAATTTCATTTCAGATGAAAAAATACATCTGCATGTTTCACTGCTGTGCTGGGCTAGAGCCGGCACGGTGACCAGTACATGGTGTCTGGGCTAGAGGCGGCACGGTGACCAGTACATGGTGTCTGGGCTAGAGGCACAGTGACCAGTACAATGGTGTCTGCCACTGTCTGGGCTAGAGCCGGCACAGTGACCAGTACATGGTGTCTGGGCTATGGATGATTTTAAGAATACACCATGCACAAAGTACAGTCATAACCTTGCACGTTACCATGGTTTCCTGCTGCCCTTGCTCACAAATCGATTACTTACTCCAACATCAATGCTGATTCAATACATTGTTGGTTGACAGCATGAAACACGGTGGTGACCACTGTGTTCGGAAACAGTGACCTTACCACAACCATCCGCGGTTGGTAGAGCCCCGGTCTTCACGACCATCTGAACTGTACGGGTTTATCAAATACAGTCTGTATCGGCTATAGCGTACCCTTTTGATTTCCGTGATTATATCACTATAACCGATGCATCACTATATGCGATACGATGGATTTTTTTCGATCGACACATGAAAGGCAAGGAAATACTTCCAGCATGGCGTTTTGACAAAATGAGCATGCTGCATAGTTGACAGTGCCCGCATTTCCATAACAAATTCTGTTATGTACATGTACATGTATTACTATAAAAATAAGCAACGTGAAGAAAGTAAAAAGATTGGGTCCTTGATATTATTGCTACATGTATTTTAAAGTTATCACTATAGCCGATAATAATGTAGTGTGTTATGCATGTTTTGATTCTTTGTTGCCATCATAATATCCGATATATCATTACATCCGATAATATTGGTTATAGTGATATTTGTACTGGATAAAATACGTTTTGCTTTTGATCTTTCGTACCAATATCACTGTAGCCGATATATTCTTATATCCGGTCACTCTATAGCCGATACAGACTGTACCATGATTCAATACATGTACTCGAAGTAGTCTCAACGGGGCCAGACTACATACCCCACTCCCCCCCCCCCCCCCCCCGACACACACACACACACCTTTCTTGAACAGGCAGCTTAGTTAGCGTTGGGTTGTTCTTCAAAATTAAAATCCTACGAGACCTCCTTCCACAGTAGCAACATTATGCTGATGCCAGCTTGCACATTGCCTGAAAGTCAGGAGATTTCTCCAGTTCTACACTCTTCTGGCTAGCTTCCACGAGCTCGGCAAACTTGCTATCCGGTTGACTCAGTTCTAGCTGTAATCGCTTCAGCCACAGTTCTTCACAGTCGCTGTACTTAGTGAGAAGACTGTCCATGACTTTGATAGCAGCTGCAGGATGGCCAGTGAGAAGTAACTGGTCTAGCCAATGTCTTCCGACGGACAGTGACACACTGTCTCTATCCAGTGCTAGCTGACATGCAGTGAACATCTGCCGAAGAGCAGTCTCCAGTGACTGTGTATTGCTTCTCAAGCGATGATGCTCCACGGCGGCAAACCAAAAGCGGCAGTAGAATTCCCACAGCTCAACCGACGGGCTCTCATCCAACGCGGCACGAAACAGCTGGTCGCAGTCACACTCGCGTTCCGCACGCACTGCTGCACTCCACATCGTCTGAGATGCAAGTGGACGATTGCATCTGGCATTTACAGAGACCGGGTGATCGGGATATTGCTCGGCAAGCTTTGCATACACAGCATCACAAGATTTCTGCGCGAAAGAAAACCGGAGGAACAACGACAAGAAGCTCACATGCACTGCCACATCCTCAATGCGCTTGGCTGCCGCATGGTATATCTGATCGGCCACCTTGCAGGAGAACTGCTCGCCTTCCAGTAGCTTTTCCTCATCTACATGTGTCCTATTAGACTTCTTGCTCGGAGCAACGGTAAGGACGTAACGCTTCCTCAGCTTGTCCACGTGCAGGAGCTCCATGCGACAGTACTCTAACCATATCTTGTGCGACTTGGGATGGGCTCGTAAGGCTGCCATCATGGTGAGGCGAGCACTGTCGATATCATCACGCTCGAAATCACACTGCGCAGCCAGCACCCACAAGCCCTCTGAGTACGAGTGGAACTTCAACGCATCCTGCACAGCCTGCTGCAGTTTCTTGGGTGCGTGTCTCACCTTACAAAACTTGATGTACTGTAGCCACAGACACAGGTCACCCTTGAATTTTTGCAAGGCACTGCGGAAAAGTCGATGGATTCTTTGCACAATTGCAAAGCTATTCGGAGTGGCTGCAGCTCCGCTCACTCTCCGAAGCTTGCACCTGGTGAACCTTAGCCGATCTACATAGATCTCATACTGGATGTAGTGAAGAAAATCCGTCTTCTTTACAATCCTACGCTGACAGCGGTACTCAAACATGCTCCTCTTTCGGAGAATCAGTCGAATTTCATCCGAGCTGAAAATGTTGTTCTTCGAGTACTCCTCCAGCTCTGGGAGCATAGATTCAACATGCCGGTTTACTAACTCCGCCATTATGGTCTACTACTAGGACGTAAATGAAATCCTCTCACGCTGAATACTATGCACATATCAGAGGATGTGACAACAGACTGTACAAGAAGAAGAAATTTAGTTACTTGAAGAAGTCGACTCGAGAGAAGAAAATAATTATTTCTGACATCAAAAACAAAAACATTTTGCACTCACTGCATGGCCATGGGCCATGGGCCATGCATGGGCCGGCGCGGCGGCGTGGACTGGCCGCACGCGCATGCCATGCGCGATATGCGCAAATGCCGCATGCTCTGATCTGGTCATCAGTGACTCATCACTGACGTCACACTATCTATCAATGATGTAGTGCGAAGCACAAGCGAGTCGTAAAAACACTATGATAACAGATAATATCAAGAGTACATAACCCCCCGGGGGGTTATGTACTCTTGATAATATGAGTCGAGTATGAACATAGCTTTGCGCAATCGATCCATTCGAAACTATTGATAGTATTGTACTGTTGCTGGTTTTTGCTGAAGATTGGCGGTGCAGAACACCATAGTCATCATGGGCAATGCCTTTGAAATGCGAAGGATTTCTATTGTCGGCACGGGGGCCATAGTTGGTCTGGCGGCCTATGGGCACTTTACCAGAGAGAGCTTCGAGAAAGAGTTGAAGGTAAATGATTAATTTCTTTCTCTTTTGAATGCCTCGAAAGTGGAAGCTTGGAGTGGTTTTGGGATAAGGGTACATAAGGTAAACTCTTGACTACCAACCTGTATCATATTGCCCCCCCCCCCCTCACCTCAGTCATTGCACGTGCATGTTGAGGATGTATTTCCCTGCTATAGAGCTTTTCAAGGACGAGGCGCCGTGCCCGCCAACGGGGCTCACCCCGAGATCGTGGTGAACAGGTCGCATGTCAAAACGCATTGAAAATATACGAAATGTGCCAGGTTTGAAGGGCTTCCTGGCCACTGCTCTGACTCGACACGAGTGTCGGACATCAATTGGATCGCCATTCTGGTACTTCTCTCACCTCCATGCATCCATTCTCATACAAAGTGAACTTGAACTAGGCTTCACCTGTTCACCAGCGATTCAAAATGTTCTCGCACGTGATCCCGAAAATGTGACCGTTGGTCCAAACTGGAAAAAGCTCTGTAAGGCGCTTTTGATGACGTCACTAGTGCCTGAGTGCCAATACACACTGTGCTAGGTTACTGCAAGAGTACATGAAAACCAGAGTGTGCAGCTCGGATTGGTTGCTGTCATGGCGGAATTCCGTGATTACATCAGTTTAGTGATGTAGTGCGTACAAGCAGGATTCAAGCAGGTCTCTTTCTGCCCAACTGCAGCTCAGTTGTGCGCACTACGCCATTTCCCGCCTCAGATCTGCGCCAAATATGATGTAATCACGGAATTCCGCCGTGACAGACACCCATAGCAGAAAAGGCCCCAAGCTGCACACTCTGGTTTTCATGTACTCTTGGTTACTGTAAGACATGTTATTATAACGAGTCGCAAATTTAACGATTGTCCAAAATTCATAGGTTAACGAGAAGATATGTTAACGATCTTGCAGTATTCTGCCATCTCCACACACAGCATATATGAAGCAGTACGGCCTCAACGGATCTTATTATAACGAAGAAATGTCATCCGTTAAAACGTTAGATTTGCTTCCTCGTCATAATATATACATGTCTTACAGTACTGTAATACAAATACGAATGCAATGGAGGCAAAAGCCCTCGAGGGAAAAGGGCCAAGGGAAAAAGGCTGTGTAGCTGTAACTTCAAGCTTCACGTATTTCAGCGATCATCAGACAGCGGCGTGCATCGACCAGGTGGCTATAATATGGAATATGAAGGAAAAAAAGAACTCAGTTCCTGGTGCCTCACTACAGTTTACTTCCCTGATTGCAGTGGATGTGGCATCTTTTCATCCATTCGAATGTCATTCTGGTCACTACTGTATGGTGCAGAGATAGCTTCTCATTGCTCTAGCACACCATTCGTCATTGCTTCAGTGTTTTTAAGTGCTGCACCAGTGAGGTTTAAAAGGGCAATTTATCAAGGAGGCACACCCTCGAAATGCAGGTTCCGCTCAACATAGAGAAACATTCTTTTGGATTTGAACTCAGGGTGATGCTGGCTACCTACTGGCCCGTATTTCGTTGCTGGGTGGATTATCCCCTTGGACGTTCCCGTTCGACCCCGAAGATGGCGCTGACAAGCCATTGGGGCTCCAACTACCATGCACTAACAACATGTATAATCATATAAACCTACACTAGTATAGTATCAGCGTGCAACTGTCTTCGCCCCTGCTCCATTGCTTAATTATTCTTGCAAGTTAGTTTGTGTTTTAAGAAATTTAAAGCTCCATTATAGCCTTGTCATATTTTCAGTACACTCAACTCGCAACACACGAACAGTCCTTGGCTACACCACGTATATTAATTGTCCAAATTTTCACCCAGGAGGGTAGCCCTCGTATGTTGCGAGTTGGGTGAACTGAGAATAAGTTAGTTTGTGCGCTGGGAAAGCATGCGGGGCAAAGACAAAGTTATTTCATGAGCAGGAAGCTGAGGAGAGGCTCTTTTCCAATTGTTTCTCTGTGAATATGACTGCAGGCCAACCCGAAATATGCAAAGTATATGCTGGACGATGCCCAGGCCACAGAGGCTGTCAAGAACATTAAAGACTCGGCCTTAAGCGGTCGCCCAGCATGGGCAGGTGCGGCGAAATACACTGACGAGCAGAAGGCCAAAGTTGCTGAGGCGCGAGAGAAGCGGCTAGGGAGAAAGGAGTGAACTGTACATGTACTTGAGGAATGTCCATGTGACCTTGTTACGTACTGCACTGTTATCGATTGTCAGAGAGATCGTAGTTGCGGCTTCTACACTCGTGCAGTCATGGTGACCGCTAGTCGTATCCAGCTGTCAGTGTCAAACCCTATCCGGCAAGTACGGCTTTGCGCGCGCACAGAGTGGAATGGAGACTTTAAAAATGCAAGCTGTGCCACGCCGGGTCCTACGATGCAAGAGCGTTGGCAGTGCACTTTCCCGTGTCAGCGTCAGCAAGCTCAAGCGCTCATGCTGCATGGCATATGCTCTCTATGTGTGTGCTGGGTGCCAGCAGGTGCTCATGTAGTGCCCTGCCTGCTTCTGCCTTGTAGCACAATGCAATTATTGGCTTCTATCCTTGTCTGTACAATCCAACAGAACCTGAATCATGGCAAATAACATTGCATTCTGATGAGTAGAATGGCGCTAATGATGACAGCAATTTTCATGCTAGCGAATGAAGAAGAACAGTGTTCCTCCTTGGGTGCATACCACTGCCCATGCTGTTGTGAAATTTTCCTATTCTACTTCTTTTTTGAAGTAACTTTAATATCGGTATAATTGTATTGCACAGACCCAACTTGAGCGTTGTGCATGTAGAGATGTGTGTACATCTGTGGTGGCAACTGAAATGTGACCCCTGTATTTTACGTACGCTTGGTACCGAGCTAAAACGAATTGTAGCGAGTAGTGTGCATGCCAGCAAAGCGTGAAGATCGCTTTTCTGGGCATTTGCTTTCTGGTCTTGTGTCTGCCTGTGCACTACTGCATGTGTACTGTTGTATTGCGAACTACCCGGGCCGCATTGTTTCTGGCGTAAGTGCAAGCTACGGCATCTGTACTGTACAGTTGCAGATATGAAGGCATGCACTGCCCTTGCTTTGAGGCCGGTGCGGCCCTGCACTATGTTGGTGCAGAGCGAGCGCACCGCTCCTGGGGTAGGATTTCACGCACAACCACTCTAGTATCTTTGACTGAAGAAATATTGGTGGGGCCATCGTACGTTGGGAATCAGGTCTTGATGGTTGCTTTGTATAATGAAGCGCCAAAGCTGTGGCAGTGGCACACAACAGTGCTGCTTTGCCACTCAATACAAATTTGCCATTCAAATCTCAATACACTGTATAAAACTAGCACTGCAGTCTGCTTTCCACTCCACGTACACCGTGCAAAGCATATGCAATGACCTCATTCGCATAGCCTCTTATACACATCTCACTGAAACGATCTGTAGACAACTGTCCTGGCCAGCGAATTGAACACGAAATCCCACGGGATAGTTTAATATAGCAACCTTGGCACAAAGTGAAACGAAAAATATAGGCGACCAGCGCTAAAATAACCGGAGTTTTTTTTAAATCGGCGTGAAATTTTTAAAGACGGTGCAACAGCACCTGTTGAAGCTAGGAATGCTAAACTAGAGCACGCAATCTACACAGCAGTACGGTGCCACCGAGACTGGCACATCAAGCCACTTTGATCTACAAAGCCGCCCAAATTATGAGAGAGCCAAGTTAATTCGTCACGGGGACGACAACTTTGATTCGTCGAATCATGCTACTGCTTGAACACCATTTGGTGAGTGTTTCCAGATCTTCACGACTCCATCCATGGCAGAAGATACCAGCACGTCGAGCTCTGGGGAATAAGACACATCCCTTAGCATACCGGTGTGCCCGACTAAGCGCGCAACTTCTCGCTGAGTCGCCACCTCCCATACAATGATGCACTTGTCTTGCGAAGTGCAGTAGATATACATACCGCTTGGGTGCCAGCAGTGGCGTGGTTGTGAGTACTCATCATTGCTGCATCCATACAGATTGGCAAGCTGCTTGCCACTGGTAGCGTGGACAAGAATGACACGGTCTTTGTCTGTCGCTACCGACAGCAGGTTGCCGCTGGGATCGAATGTGATGTCGAGCGCCGTGAAACTGACATAGTTGTCCCCCAGCGCATTGAGATTCAGCTCACTGTCCTTGCTGATCGCATCATCGCTGCAGCTGAACGTGTGAAGCATGTGATCGTTGCGGACTGCCACGACAAGAAGTGGCTTCGTTGGATGCCAGCACAGAGTCTCGGCTGAGCCGCGGAATGAGGTCTGTTTTCGTAGCTGGAAGAACGTAAAGTCGTCGCTGTCAGCACTGTAGATACACACTGTGTGATCATATGATGCAGTAGCTAGCCATCGACCACATGCAGAAAACACGGCCTTTACAACATACTTAGAATGATCGGACAGCACCTGCAAGTCCTTTACGTCGTCCACTTCACCCGAGCCCTCTTCGGCAAACAGAGCCGTCATGTCCATAAGGCGGCATGATTTATCCATGCTATTGGAAAGCACCAAGTTTGCCTTCTTCGGGTGCTGGGCAACGCCTAGAACGCCTCCACCATGTCGCAGCATCTTTGACGGTATCCCAGCTGCAGAAGACCCGATGGGCAGCTTGAGCTGGCCAAAGAATTGCAGCTTGCGCGCGCAGGACAGAAGCAGCCATCCTTGCGGTGTCAGGCGAGAGCACAGAACAGGAACGCCTCCCGTCCACGAGTCCAGTGACAAGCACTCCTGGTTGGTGTGTACACCGTCGCCATTCTGCACATAGTCCACAACTTTCTCCTCTGAACGTAAATGAGATACCTCAGCCTCGGCGTGAAGATCGAAAATTTCGTCCAGTGCTCCTGTCTTGGCAGTTGTTGAGTCTACATTCAGCGTGCACTCTGCCTTCAAGCTCTCTGCTGTCTGCTTGTATCCATGTTCCTTTAGCCACTGGAGAATGAGTTGGGCTTTCCTGCTGTTGTCCATTGTGCTTGTGGCGATCTTCTATTTCAAATAATTCCACCCACGGGGACCAATGCTAGATACCGCTAGAACCAACGTATCCAGAGAGAAACACTCCTGTGTGCGATGGGACTTCACGCACCACTTCCCCTCCAAAGCAGCAGAGCAGAGAGAGATATAAGTGGCATCGGTCATCTAGTATCAATCGTTATGTACTCTTCCCGATCTCCCACACAACGTTTTCAACGTTGCAGATTTTTGTTTTGTTTTGTTTGATGGCTTTTTTTCTTTTTTTGACACCAACGAAGTGACGCCATTTTCGCGTTCATTGGAAACCATGTTGTTGCTATGCACGTGCATGGCTTGGGAGACTAGACTGGGAGTGGGAGTTCCCCTGCTATGCTGTCATCAGTTGAGTTCGAGTGGCGTTGATCTGATTACTGGAATACCGGCACATGTCATGATAGAGCCTTAGACTAGAGGTTCCGCATAACGTAATTACGTTTAATGTAAAAAACGTAGTCGATCTACGGAAACACCCCAGCTAGTCAGGGAAATGACGCACGCAACCGTTCGCATCACTGATCACTGCAGGGAAGACCGGTACGGCGGTAGGGCCTTCCCTATCAAAATAATAAATTCTACTACTACTACTACTACTACCGGAGCAGCGGTTCGAATGCTGATGGCCAAGAATCATCCACGGGCTCGCACTCCCTGAACGACATCATTGACGGTCAATCAGTCCGAGAGGTCCTCATCTCCAAGCACCCTCCGGGTGAGCCACTCCATGAGGCAGTGCTTATACCGGGAATACCTCCCGAACAACCACATGCCATCATGTTCTCAGCCATCACGAGAGACTGGCCATCATGAAATGAGTCCTCAATACCAACGGTGCGGCCGGACCCTCAGGCATGGACGCCAATGGCTGGCGAAGAATCTGTTCGTCCTTCCATAGTGCCTCTGATGCTCTCTGCGATGCGCTCGCCCCGTGTGCCCGTCGCATAGCGACCACTGCCATCGACCCTTCCTCCCTTGAGGCCTATACCGCCTGCAGGCTGATCCTATTAGACAAGCAACCCGGAGTTCGGCCCATCGGAATTGGTGAGGTCGTTCGACGTGTTATCGGCAAGGCCATATTGATGGTAGTAGGCCCAGCAATTCAGCAAGCCACAGGGTGCCTCCAACTGTGTGCAGGCCAACAGAGCGGCATCGAAGCAGCCATCCACGCTATGCGATCCGCATTCGCGCAAGACGATACTGAGGCCGTGCTCCTAGCCGATGCATCAAATGCGTTCAATCGTATCAACCGCAACGTATGCATTCGCAACATCCAGCATCTGTGCCCAGAATTCTCCACCACCATCGTCAATACGTACCGGTCCCCATCCCGGCTGTTCGTCGGTGGCGAGACCATTCTCTCCTGTGAAGGAACTACACAAGGCGATCCGCTCGCAATGGCGATGTATGCGTTGGGCACCGTGCCTCTCATCCGTCGTGCTGCCTCTAGCCAAGCCGTACAAGCGTGGTTCGCAGATGATTCCACAGCAGCAAGCACTCTCACCAGGCCACTTCATAAGTGGTGGTCCATCCTGGAAGAAGAAGGTCCATCCTGTGGATACTACATCAACGCCAAAAAGTCGATACTTTTGGTGAAGCCCGAGTGCTTAGATCGAGCCAGGGAAATCTTCCAGGACTCCAGCATAGACATCCGGTCGGATGGGTGTCGCCACCTAGGTGCCGTCCTCGGATCACCAACATTCTGTTCGGCATATGTGTCAGGCAAGGTGCAAGGTGGATGAGTCGGGTGTCGCGAAGTGGATGTTCTGGCTGAGGTTCGCCCGCACCCAACCACAAGCGGCATTTGCTGCCCTCGGCCAGGGAGTTCGCCATAAGTGGTCCTTTGTCGCCCGGACAGTGCCAAATACGGCCGACCTGCTCGCACCCTTGGAGGAAAGAATCCGTAGCAAATTCATCCCTGCCATCACCAACCGCGTCCCGCCAGGAGACATCGAGCGTGCCATGCTGGCCCTACCGTGCAGGGACGGAGGGCTGGGGATCGTCAACCCATCCTCCCTTGCCTCCCAGTTCCAGGACTCTATGCATATTACCAAGTCTCTCGTGCAGAAGATCCTCCAGCAAGATCAGTCAGCAGAAGGCGTCCCAGCTGCCACCATCACAGCGAAGGCAGAGAATCTGATTGTTTCCCAGTCCCGGCGCCTGGCGAAGGAAGCTGTTGCCTCGGTCATTGCCACCTCCACCAGCACCACAGAGCGCACCCTGAATCTTGCTGCTGAAAAGGGCGCCTCCAGCTGGTTGACCTGTCAGCCCCTTCGTCAGTATGGTTTCAACCTACACAAGCAGGCGTTCTGGGACGCTCTCTGCCTACGGTATGGTTGGACCCCTCCAGGCCTGCCAACAGAATGTGTGTGCGGCAAAGCGTTTTCACCGGAACACGCGCTGTCTTGCCCAACTGGTGGCTACCCCGCCATGCGGCATAATGACCTTCGGGATCTCACCGCATCTCTCCTGCGTGAAGTGGCCCATGATGTCCAGGTCGAGCCACATCTCCACTGGCCGCTAACCGGTGAGACCTTCCGTCACCGCTCCGCCATCTCCGAGGATGGTGCCCGCCTGGATGTGGCCGCATCGGGTGTCTGGGGTGGACGTTTCGAACGGGCACTACTGGACATCCGGGTGTTCAACCCGCACGCCCGCTCCAACCGCCAGCAGTCCATCACGGCCACCTCAAGCATGAGGCCGAGAAAAGGCGCGCGTACGAAGAACGCGTCCGGGAAGTTGAACACGCGTCTTTTTCTCCCATTGTGTTCAGCGCTTCCGGCGGCTACGGCAAGTCCGCATCCGCTTTTTTCAAGCGTGTCGCCTCTATGCTCGCCGACAAGAGAAAGGAGCCCTTCTCCTCACTTCTTGCCTTTATGTCAAGGGTTTCCTTTTCTCTTGTTCGTGCCTCCAATGCCAGCCTCCGTGGTCACCGCAGGCCACGGTCTCAAGATGCCCGCCAGAGAGTCATTGACTCTGATGCTTCTGTGGTCCTTGCTGCTGCAGAGTGCTTTCGGTAACTATCCGTGGTGTGTTTGGCTACTGTTCTGCTTCATTCCCCCCCCCCTTTTTTCATGATTTTGCATGTTATCATTTTCTCGGATTCCGGTTTTCCACTCTGTTATGTTCGAATCCATAGTCTGTCTGTACATGATTTGTACGCAACTTCTCATTGTTTTTTGTTTTTTTGTTTTTGTTTTGTTTTGATCTACGGAAAGTCTTACGTAAACCAGGGAGCCCTACACGTATGTGTAGGGCTCCCTGACGTAAACTGCATGCGCATTCTGGGTTCCGCCATACGGCCTTGGCAACTCCGAACGCGGCAGTGTACGACCAGATCGACCTGGGGAGAGAGTCATAAATTTGTACCCCTATCCACTTACGGACCAGCTACGTTTTTTTGTTTTTTTTGGCGGAGGATTGGAAAACAAATCACTTAAAATGATGACGTCACATGTGATCAGAGAGCAAGAGAACTTGAGAAGCATAGCACAGTCCGCACAATCACGGGCAAGGCTCAACGGGACACCCTAGCCTCCACGACAGCCAGGGAGGCACAGCCATCCATTGGAGGCTGCCAAACTCGGCGAGCCCCACGCAGACACATGACACTCGAACGCAGCAGGGCGAAAGACAGCCTGCAGCGGAGGTGGGCGCCTCCCTCCCACGTAGCGACTGGAGATGTGCAATCCGGCTCACCAGTGCAGCGGCACCCTTGCCGCATCCTCCGGTGGAAGAGAGCACAAAGGGGAGAAAAGTGGATCGCTCCACTTCTCAGGCGGGCTCTCCGATCGTATCAACGGCGTTTCTCTTGCTCGTGGTGCCGGTAGCAGGCGGAGAGAGAGGAGGAGGTGCGGTTCGAAGACACATAAGGGTTGAACACCCGTACATCAATAAAAGTGCGTTCGAACCGACCCCCCGACCCCCCCCCCCCCCCCCAAACTCCACTGGCCACCACATCCAAACGAGCTTGATCCTCGGTTGATGCAGATCGGAGCTGAAACTGCTCCCCAGTCAGGGGTTGGAGATGTGGCTCCACTGCGACGTTGTGGGCGACACCCTTCAATGAGCTTGCCAGTATGTCGCGCACCTCGTTGTGGCGGATCGAGGGGAACCCACCGAAAGGACAGGACAAGGCGTGAGCAGTGGTGAATGCCTTCTCGCAAACACAGGTGGTGGGCAGGCGAGAAGGCGTCCAACCGTAACGGAGGCAGAGGCCATCCCGGAATTCCCCCTTCGACAAAGCGAAGCCATGGCGAGCGATGGGTCGGCAGGTGAGCCAGCTTGATGCTCCCTTCTCCTCTGCCAGACTGATAGCGAGATCGAGTTCGCTGTGCTCGGTGCGGAACGTATCGGCAGCTATCTTCATTGCCTTTCTGGCCTCAGAGCGAGCCTGACTCTTGGCTCTGCGGACACAGGCAAGAGCATCATCGAGGTGCTCCTCTTGCGCCATGATCTTGTCGTACAGGGCAGTGGTGATTAGCCTGGAGGTGCCGTACTGTGAGCCAAAAATGGTAGGGTTGGCCACGCCGAGGCCTCGATGCCGGCAGGGGAAAGTGAGCAAAATGCGCTCAGCTTCACTGGGCGCCGTCCGTCCACTAATGGCAGGGAGTAGGCGGCGGTGGATGATGTCCTCCAGGGGTGCCAGCTGTTCTGCAGCACCATCGAGAACCCGACACAGGAAGGACCAGCGGTGTTGGAGGCTGTTCACCAGTGCAGAGTAAGCTGCTTGAGGCTGTGACCGGGCGAAATCTGTCAGCTTGCACAGCTCCTGCGACCAGGTGGCCACCTTGGAAGCCACAAACTCCTGCACAAACTGATCAGTTCCGATGGCTGATCCAAGGTGGCGGCACCCGTCAGAGGTGATAGACACACCCGTGCCGGCAAAGATGGTCTCGGCTGCCTCTAGCTTGTCCCGCTTGACGACGAGGACGGACTTGCTGGGGTTAATGAAATACCCGAACGCCGGCCCATCCCCGACGAGTCCCAGCTACGTTATCAGAGCCCTATCTACGTACTCTCCGTAGACAACTTTCCGTAAGTTTATTTTATTTTATTTTACTTGAAAAAGCACATAACCACCAGGAAAGCTGACAAAGAAAAAAGAGTAAGAAAAGACAGATAAAAAGAGAGCTGAGAGAGAGCGTTGGGGTACGGCTAGGGGAGGACGAGACATTGAATGGTGGTCGC